TCCAGCACCATAAGCAAGCTTAAAGAACCTCAAACACAGTCCTCCAGGAGGTTCTTGCCATCCACAGGCTCAAGCTCAGTCCTGCTGACAAAAAAGGATGAAGAGTTGATGACTGATTTAGACATCTTGTGTGAAAATGAATGTGAGAACACAGAAATCGAAACAAATGAATCCTTTCAGGAGTTCAAGAGGAAAACAGAGGAGGACTTTTACAGAGGAGGTCAAGTTTCATGGTGGAACTTTTACCTTTCTGAAAAGAACGGCAGCCTGCCATTCATCAAACGAGACAAATACAATGAGCTGTATGACCTGATCACTCCTACAGAAGTCTACACATCTCCATGTGTTATGATCAGTCTTTTCCACCACCCAGGATGTGGGGGAACAACTCTAGCGAGGCACATTCTTTGGGACTTGAGAAGGAAATTCAGATGCACTGTTGTTAAAAACAACATGGCAACCAATAATGAAATTGCAGCTCAAGTCATAAACCTGCTGACATATGGCAAACAGGAGCAGCCAGGCTATGTACCTGTACTCCTCTTGGTGGACAACTGGGATGATGTAGAGGGCCTAAAGCAGTGTATCCTGAATGTTGCCAGTGATAGGAAGCGGAATCTCATGGCAATCATACTGAACTGTGAGAGAACCCGTTTCCCTGATGAAAGCAGCAGAAATAGCCGCATTGCAAATGTGTCCATCACCAACAAGTTGTCAGCCAAAGAGCAGTGTTTGTTTTCTGATAAATTTCAACAACTCAAGGATAACCATGAAAAGCCAGACACCTTTTATGCTTTCATGATCATGACAAATAACTTCAGTGAGACTTACATCACAAATCTGGTGAACAACATTGTCAAAGATATTGATGCCACTACCCAACAGGGTAGGCTTTTATCCTTTCTGGCTCTGCTGAACACCTTTGTAAATGGATCCTACATGTCACTCTCTTTGTGTGAAGAGTTACTTGGGATAAGAAATGCTCTGTGGAAGCAAGAAAGCCTTGATGATAAAATGAATCCCTATTCCACACTGATGATCACTTTCACTGTTGAAGAGCATGGCAACTATCAAGCAGTACGATTCTTACACCAAATGATTGCCAGTAACTGTCTTGATGTTCTTACCCAAAAACACAATCTTTCTCTGTCTGAGATAACTATTAACCTTTTACACTGTGACAAACTCTACAAATCATGCATGGGAAAGGATTTCCTGGTGCAAAACATTCATAGCATGCTCATCACACGTCACCGAAAAGAACAAGGCGATGACAAAGACACTTTGTTTTCTCCTCTGATTGAAAACATACATGAGAAGGAAGGACCTGACAAAATTAAAGAGGTCTTAGAAAGAGCCACATTTAGGTTTGACAGAAGTGCAACACTGCCACAAGCACTAGCAAGATATTTCTGCTTGAAAGAAAAAGACTTTAAATCTGCCCTCAAGTGGGCTTTGGAGGCACAGCAGAAATATTCCAATTCATACATTGCAGATACAGTCGGACAAGTGTACAAGAGCCACCTCAAAAAAGAAATTGAAGATTCTGAGGTTCTCACTCCAGAAACACTTGACAGATGCCTACACTTAGCATCTAATGCTGTAACTGCATTCCAGGATTCACAGGAGCAAGCCAAGAAGGATGATTCATTTGATCCATTTGATATACGCCACAAAAAAAGGCCAACATCCTACAATACAGCAGGCTATGTTGGAGAGACAGAAGTCATTATGATTCTCCTTGATGTCATTAAAGAGCTTCCTATTTTTGCTGTCAGTGACAGACATAGAAAGGATAAAATGCTACAATTCCTTAAATGTGGACAAGTGAGCAACTTATATGATTTGAGCAACACAGCCATTAACCAGCTTGTCTCTGTCCTGGCAGACCATGAGAAATTTCTGGTCTCTTTGAAGCCAAGGCTAAAGGAAATATTCACTTTCTTTGAGAACTACTTCACATACCTAAAACCTAGGTCTCAGGAAAGGGTGACAGCTGATGAAAGAAACAAGCGAAAGGTTTCTGAGTCCTTCAAAAAATACATACAAATATTTAGCATTTCGGAAGAGGAGAAAGCATCTGAAAAAGCCAGCAAGCCCAATCTCAGTCACCGTCAGGAGATAGTTGATCAGAGGTGCTATCTGGAAATAAAACGAGCAGACTCATTTGCTGGACTTCTGCAGTGCTTGTATGACAGAAACTGGCAGGAAATAGAGCACATTTTCCAAAAATGGCAGTTTATATTTGACAACTCACCCAACAAATATGTGTCAGATACAGTCAACTTCATCTTGGTAAACATTGTTGTTCACAGCTTGAAGCCCTCCAACAAATTGCTGAAAAAATATGAGGAGCTGGTCTTCCTTCTTAATGAGGTACTGCAAAAAGAGGGTACTCATTCAAATCTGACAGAGCTGTACTACCTATCCATGTTGCTAATGTGGCCTACGAAAGACCAAACGCTTGAAAGCTTGGCAACATACAAAAATATCAGCACGTACATCACATCAGCCAAGAAATCTTTTCATCGACGCTTCTCTCACATGTTTCCTGCAAGGAGTACTGTTGCACATTTCTTCCTTGGGAAATCCAGTGGACTCAAACGAATAGTTCCCAAGGCAAAGCTTGATCAAATTGTGTCAAAGCAGCAAGCCTCCATCAGTGGCCAAAGTAGTCAACCACGTAACCGGCACCATCTGTGGCAGAGTGGTGCTGCATGGAACGAGCCAGAGATCCAGAAGAAGCTGTTAAGGGTTAAAGGAACATCAGAAAATGGTGACATTTACGTTAACTATGGTGGCAATCTAAAAATGCTAGTACGTCCAGTTTACCTGGGTGATATTCGAAGCGGATACAGCCGGGAGGAAGTATCCTTCTACCTTGGATTTACCATGGAAGGGCCTGTGGCCTATAATATCAAGTATGAAAATGAGCACTGAAAATGTTTAACCTGCGGATGGCAACATACAGACCTTTACAGTATAAGAGGCTGATTGATTATGAGCTAATTCTACAATGAACACACTGGATCTTGTAGATTAAACACCCACATTCAGCAGTGTAATAGTGGTAGTGGCAAACAAAGTGTCTGAAGAGAACACTCGACATTGTGGGTTCCCCAGCAGAGACCAGATGATTTGAGATTGTAACCCTTCAAACAGTCTATCATTACAGAATAATGGCACATTGGGTAATGCTAAGTTGCTATAAAATATACTGTTTCTTTAATAATCATTTTAATGTAAGTGTTTAATGTTAAGTGTCACTTCAGAGAACAAAGTTTGTCTATCACTGCCATTGTTGGTGGCATGCAAGGTCATTTTACAAGTTGTATTCCAGTTTTTTTTACATTATATTTGCTTTGAGAAAATGTTTTAAACATTAAAATATTTTAAGCATTTCCTCTAATAGATATCAATAATGGGAGAACCCAGCCATGCATGGACAAATGCTTTTTGCTATGATTATTTTGTGGCGTTATGTCATGTTTAGCTTTACTCAGTACCACAGTTTACTTAATATATGTTTCATGTTAATTTTCTAAAGCGTTTTATTGTTTATTGTAATATTAATAGAGTTGGCATACTTTAATATTGAAATCAAATTGCTAGATGATGATGATATGATGTACTGTACAGGAGATGTTTACATATTAAAGTAAAATACAGATGACAAACTGTATGGATTCATGTGTATGACAAGGTCCTTTACACACAGCTATCCCTGAGTTTCTTAGGAACAATTTATTTAGTTACTGTTTTAGTTAACTTTTTTTTTTAACTGAGGCATTTTGATCTGATGAAGAATATATTATTCAAGTATTCCACCCTAAAAAGATGTTTATCAGGACTATCTCTGTGAAAGGTGCATCTGCTTCCTTTTAGGGATTTCTTTACGGTATTATAATATAATACAGTGCAAACAGGTCTGGTTCACTATTTTTGTGTCACCAGAGTCCTCTGATTGAAGGTTTGACTACTTGAATAATCTTAAAATGAGATTCCACACTGACATTTTTTAGCATGATGTACATTTGTATCTGTATTCAACAAAAGATAAAGTTGTCAACTCTGGAGAAGAAAGTTGAACATGCAGCAGCTAAAGAGAGAGATATTGATGTAGAAAAAGAAAAAAAAAAAAAAAAAGATCAGTAGGTTTCAAATGACCAGACCAGAGTGAACCATTATATGAACGTTTTCAAAAGACTTTGATATACAAGCAAACATAAGACACTTCATAATAATGTGGATGATTCTCCAACAACACACTGGGTTTAGAAATCAACACATCCAGTCATTAGTTTTACTCATTTTGTTTCTTGTTCTTTGTGTCCTTGGGACACATGCAGAGCTTCTACAAACGCATGGCGCAGAAAGTGAATTCTTTGTTGGTGTCATATAGACAATGTCTCGGAACCCTGAGCATGCTAACATGCTAAATGTTAACACGATGAGCCACATGTTAATAAGGTAATTGAGTAAACTACAATCTGTATCTGTTCAACCAACTAAATCTAACTGTATTTGTAGCTGTACTCTGAATGGGCGGGGCTTAAACCAGGCGCAAAATTTTTTTTTCACAGGATGCAAAGTCACAACCAGCACTTCTCTGCCTCTGATTGGCTGACCCTGACATTCTTACCCTAATCCTAACAAGTGTCACTTTGCCATGACTATCATGCTACCTGTGACCATGTTTAATATGCTGGTAACATGCAAATGGTAGCTTTGAGCTTAAGTTAGGCTAAGCCATCTCATCAATTAATATATTTTAATTTTTTATCTTAAAAATTACAGCCTTGTGGTGCTGCTAGTGTAGCTAATTTGCATTTTGTTGTGTGTCACGTCCCGTTACCTAGTGATTTTATTTTTTGTTATACAAAATGAAACATAAAAATCAAACCATTTCTTAAAATTTTGCTCATCCCTCTTTAATGTCTTAACATTTATATATATATATATATATATATATATATAAAATGTTTTTTATTGTAAAACAAAAATCACATAACCACTTTTTTTGTTTTTTACTATCCGTTTCTGAAAAGAAAATCAAAATGTCCATAAGATACACTAAACATGAATACTTGAAAACTTTCAGGGCTAAACAGGGCCAAACATCAGAAATATTGGCTACTGCTGACTTCAGTCTAAAAGTATTGACATTAGCCAAGGCTAACACAGGCACATCAGTGGCACCCTAGTCTAAAACTACCTAAGTTAACAAATGGGCCAATCATTATCTACCCGATTGCAATGAAGGAGTGAAATGCTGCTGTGATCAGAGGTACTTCTGGTCATCTTTGCCCAACATACAGGATGCATGAGGGATTCATTACTACACTGGAAAATCAGATAAGTTAATTTAACATAAAACATTTTTAAAACTTATTACGTTGAAAATGTAAGTAAAATTAACTTAACTTTGTAAGATAAAAAAAACATTCTTGATCAATATCTTTAGTAATTTGCAATTCGCGATGCAAAAAAACCCTTTGCATTACAGTACAAAGATCTCCTTAAATGGTTCACTCATGTCAATCTGTCAACAGGGCAAATAGTTATTGGAGCCTCATTCCTTCCTGATTTATTAGTACATGGGCTGAAGAATGGATGGATGGTGTCAGGAAAAGTATCTGTGAATGTATATATGAGCACTCTGGCCTCAACGTTGTAAAAGGACACCAGTCCCTTATCGCAGTCCACATAAATTCCAATCCGTGATGGTCTAAGGTTGAGGGTCAGGCTGGTTGAGGGTTCTGTTCGGAAGGCGTAGTCACTCTGATCCCGCAGACTGAGGAACCAATAGCCATGGACGGGGCTTACAGTGATTTTGCCCTTCCGATTGACGGACCAGCTTGCCACTCCCAGGTCCCAGTCAGTCTTTCCTCCCACCTCCACCTAGAAAAACAGTGTGGGACAGTTTACTGTAGAAAGTGCATAAATTCCACCTGGGGGGAGTTAGAGTCAGGTCAATTCATTGATTTTCCAATTTATCAGGTTTATATTGGTATTAATTTGCACATCACAAAGTCAAATTATCCATTTGTGATGGAATTTGCTACCTTTGACCAAAATGATATTAATGGTCCAGTGTGTAGGATTTAATGGCATCTACTGATGTAGTTGCAGATTGCAACTACCCTCGTTTCACCCTCCCCTTCCCAGCAAAAAGGAACGGTAAATGGACTGTACTTGTATAGTGCCTTTGTAGTCTTCCGACCACTCAAAGCACTGTACGCTACATGCCACATTCACCCTTTCACACAGTGACGGCAAACACTCATCACAAACAGAAACTAATCCATCCATCCGGAGCAATCTGGGGTTTAGTATCTTGCTCAAGGACACTTGCACTGCAGTAAGAGGAGGAAACTACAAAGGCCACAAAATGTGCAAAAAACATTTGTTTGTCCCATCTAGGCTACTGTAGAGGTATGGCAGTTCAACGTGGAGGATTCCATGGAAGGTGATTATACACTAATGAAAACATACCTATGAATATTATTTTCCATTTCTACCAATAGATCCTCCTCAATGTTACACACTGGACCTTTAGTGACTTTACAATCTCTTTGCAAATCTGAATCTGTTAATTTAATTATTTAGTATTTTAGATTTGAAATCCAAGAGTATTAGAGGTGAACTGGGTAGAAAAACTCTTAACAAAAACTACTGCTCAAATGATGGGATTGTATGTGATGTATTCTAAACGATTGCCTATGGAAAAGCCTTAGTTGTGATTTTGATATAAAGAGTTTCAAACCTATTTATGATAGACACAACCACCTACATGTATTTTCCCAATCTGACTGCAGATGGTGCCACTATACCAACAGTGAATCAGCCTACTGATTTACCAACACAGCAAACACTGATGAACACAATGCTAGTACCAAAGTACTGAGAATCTGAAATATTAAACATTAAATCTTGACATAGAATCGGCACATCACACACAACAAACTATGCACATTCTTTGAACACAAAGAATCATAGCTGCATCATTGTGTTTGTTGTCGCTGTGTGCTTGTGGTTGCTGTAATCTAGGAATGTACACAACTAGGTGTATCCTTCAGTATGGTGACCACTACCCAGAATGCAATGTGCCATGACGTGGTTGCCTATTCTCTATTTGGAATGTTGGAATGCCCTCTAGTGGACAGAACATGTTACAACAAGATGCTGACAGTGGCATTGTCAGTATGATACAGCACATAGTAAACATGAATAACAGGCTAAAGCTGAGCATTTCATTTTTTTCTTTAATAAAAACGTCTTTTAATTTCTCTAGAAGTGTTACACTGTTTATTAGAAAGGCATTAATGCTTTTAGAAATGGGTTTGTCTATTTAAGTGAATCAATATTGTGTTTTTTAACTTGGTGCTCTTAAAAAAATGGCCTGTCCTCACCCCCAAAATTCCTTATAATTTTTCCTTTCTTACAATTAAAATGATTACATAAACATTTCAATATTAAACATTAAAATGAAACATTGATGCATTTTCATAAACATAATACAACATTTAGTGAAGTCTGCTCGATGTTCGAAGGCCTGCTGCTACTGTGATAGTTATAGCCATGCAAGTGTTCAGAGTCAGCAGCCTAGTGTCCCCTCTCTGGGGGTCGGCAAAGTTTCACAGGGTTTTGCGGGGTTTTGCAGGGCTGATTTTAGGTAGTTTTTATACTTAAGTAACTCTTTATATTTAAAGTTTAGATTATTATTCAAGATCTAAATTTACTCAGAGAGCCTTTACTCTCTGATTAACTGATAAACCGATAACCAGCAACAACAAAGAGCTAACAAAACGATATGGAGAAGAAAGCACTGAATTTGTCAAAGACTATGCCTAGTAAGTCTGTATGATTGTTAAAAAAACCCCCAGTAAAATGCAATATTCAGAAAGAAGAAGAAATCTGCAAAAAATTCACCTGAATTGCTCTTTTTACACAAGCTTCCTGAAGTTATTGTGTTCACTGTTTGGGTTCATTGTTCAGTTTATAAATTATCTACTGTTATTATTATGCATCGAATTTAAATGAAATGTAAATAAGATTAAGTAATTTTTCAAGGGTCAGTTGACTCAACGATACCAAAGGCGTCCCTTAAAGATAAAGTTTGGGAACCACTGATTAGTCTACCTTTACGTCTTGCTGACCGGTCCTTTTTGCCCTTTTATCGCCATCGGCTGGATTGGGCTAGTGGAGCTGGTGGTGGCTAATATTGTGGTAATGAATAAGTTTGTCCTATTAGGCTACCATCCTGAAGAAACTGAGTTTAGTCAGAGCTCAGAGTAGCAAAGTGTGTCTGACTCTTATTTATAACACAAATGTGAGACTTTTAATTTCTTAAAATAGTGGAACAGAGTGGATACAAGCCTCTGCTTCTCATAGACTTGTGAGGAATACAAACAGGGACAGCCTCCTTTTTATTATGTTGGACACGATGTTATGACCATAGCTGGTCAGCAACACTGTGGTCAATATAAAGTGAGGAAACCCACTTCTGACCACTTTCAGAATTTCTGCTTAAATAAATAAATTAGATAGTTTATTACAAACTAAAGTAAACTACACAGGGCATATAATATAGTGCAAATTAGAATAAATAACACATTTACTCATTAATTACACCTGACCAACCAAACACGGTTGAAACTAATGCAAAGCTCTAGTAAATGGTAAATAGACCTGTACTTGTATAGCGCCTTTCTAATCTTCCGACCACTCAAAGCGCTTTTACATGTGTGTGTATGTGCCACATTCACCCTTTCACACACATTCACACAGTGATGACAAAGTCCATCAAACAGAAACTAACTCATTCATACACATTCACACACCGATGCACGGCATTTGGGGTTCAGTATCTTGCTCAAGGATGCTTCAACATGTGGCACCAGGAGCCGGGGATCGAACCCACGAACGACCCGCTCTGCCTCTGAGCCACAGCCGCCCAGTACTGAGGTATTTAAAATCATCAACCATCTGAACCTTTTCCTCATCAATCATTATTGGCCGCATTAAATCTTTGCAGCTGTGTATGATATTTGGTCTTACTGACATGTCTTTCTAAGAAACTTGTTAAACACCAGTTTTGAAGAGCTAACACAGCTTCACACTGTGTCCCACCTACCTCCCAGTAATGCCGTCCTGAGCTGAAGCCCTCGCGGGCCAGCACACACACCACCCGATCAAAGCGCTCTGGGTTGTCTGGTACCGGCTGATGGCGGTCCCCACAGTGCACCTGCTTCCCATCTACTGAGATGACGAGACGTGGGTGGGCCGTGTGGGGATCTAAAGTGATGTTGGCTGACAAATTGAGAGAGTGATGGTTGGTGATCAGGGTTGGGAGAGTTACTTTATGTAATCTGATACAGTTACTTATTACCTGTTAAAACATGTAGTCTAACCTAATCCAAGTATAACAATAAAAAAGTAATGTAACTTGATTACTTCCCATTACTTTTGGATTACCTCAAAACAAAATAAACAAGAGAAAAGAAATTCCAGTAAGAAGTATAGATATGTATAGCGTATGTTATAAACCAACTGAACAATGAAACCTTGGAAAAGACAATAGAAACAAAAAAAAGGAAAATGGAAAGATTATTCAACTCAAATCATAATTTTTTCATCAAAAATTTCAATAATTACAGTTACATTTTTTTGGTATCTTGATTACATAACTGAGTTAGATGTAATCTGTTACTCCCCAAGCCTGTTGGTGATTATACTAATGGACAGTGTAACCAATGAAGATAACATTAAAAGAACTATAAGCCTTACCTGCATATTCTTGAACCCTCCTTATCTCTGCAAAGAAACAGAATATATTTACTTTCTTGTTTTGGTTGTATTGATTTATTGACTAATTGAATTCAATTGGAGGCAGGGTGGCTTGAAATAAACAACATTTTGTGCTGTTAGCTGATCAGAATCTTACTTGGGTTGGGCCTGGGTACAGGTTGCTCCAATGAGGGTCGCTGGCCTGTTAATTAGATGAAGAAGATATACTTTATTCCCTAGGGGGAAATTGTTCTTTTCACTATTTTTTGTACACATACACACACACACGGCTGAAATGCACACTTCATGCACTTGTGGACATGCAAAGGGGAGAGAGATGGTTGAGAGATGGGGCTGCAACATTAGCGGCACACCATGAGCAGGTTTTGGGGTTAGGTTGCCTTGCTCAAGGGCACCTCGGCAGTGCACAGGAGGTGAAACTGGCACCTCTGCAGCTACCAGTCCACACTGCATATTGTGGTCTGTGGGACTTGAACCGGCTAGGGTTAGGCTCTTCCGATTCCCAAGCCATGTCCCTACACACTGAGCTACTGCCGCCCCAATTATAGAAGACAGCGTTACTACTGTTTGGGTTGTGTACAGTCAGAGAACATATGGTCATCAGAGCTCTGAACCACAAAGGCAGGAGCCAAATGGAGCTTCTAGAACAAAAATACATGGTAGCTGCTACAGTTCAGTTGGTGCATTTGGTTGTAAAAGCTTAGCAGAAGCTTGTAAAACACAACATTTAAAGTTCCATCTTTTGTCTGATCATAAATTCTGTTTCAGATTTTAGACAGCAGAATGTTTCCCTTCAACATATTTACTTGCTCCAGCTTAGGTGTAAATGAGGACTTACAGACTTCTGGCAGTTTTCGCATCTCTTCCACAATGTGTTCCATCATATCATTGACAGTCCTGAGAATCCCCCCCGAGGTCAGCTCAGATGCCACAGAGACACCGGACCAGTCCTTTGTCTGTGGAAAGGTGGACAGGGTGGGGAACGTCTGCAGAGAGAGAGAAGGGGGCTTCAACAGGCTGAAAGAAATACCTCAGCTTTTAGAGACTGTCACATCATAGTATCCAAATGAATTGTTGGAGCTTGTAAACAGAGACTAATATATAGTTAGGTCCAGTCGAGATGAGGCAAGGACCACAGTCAGAACAGAATCATGGTTGTTTTGCTTTGAATAATAGTGCTTTAATAAGAAAAATGGTAGAGGATTGTGGGATCTGGAAATGTAGTTTTGTCGGCTAATATGGATGTTACTCCTGAGTACCAGGTCAGAGAGAATGTCCAGGTCACTGATCTATAAAATATTCAAACTAATCTTACAAGCAAAACAACAGATATATGTCAGCCTCTTTACAACTATATATCATTATCATTATATATAATTATATATATGTTTATCAGTAACAATAAGGTCCATCATCTCGTGGCCCAATTCTAGGGCGTAAACACACATTCTTTTTTGAGCACTGTCTCTGGTTATTTCATATTTATTTTAAATTTATTTCCATTGTTACACTGTAATGCCTCAAAAATATGGTTTGAAACGGATTCGATTGAAAATTTTAGGTACCACAAACAACATTTTGGAAAATTACAGAAACATTACTTTTTAGTAGTTATTTTGTTTTCAAGGTACAAATACAAATTACAAAATTAAGTCAGTGTCACTTCATTTACAAAAGCTACTTGATCAAGAATGTTTTATTAGTAGAATTAAGTTAGTTTTACTTAAAATTTTCTATCAACTGATATCAGTCGATTTATAACAATTCTTTCTGAGTTAAATTAAGTTATGTAGTTTTACAGTGTAAAACATAACTGTAACAATGGGCAATTTTTAGAGTTGTTACCATACCATTTTTTCCTTTCAAAGCAGAATACCAACACTTGGACTGGTTACGGTTGGCCAATTCCAAGTAATGATTCAATGCATATGTGTTAAAATGACTTTGTTATCCTGCTGGAAGTAGCAGCATCCTGATAAATGATATGGTAACGGATTGTGTACACTCTCCCATACTGCATTTTAGGCAAAACATTAAGTGCATGACTCCTCCCGGCTTAGTTGTGCCAAGCATCATTCAGCGTTGCTAGCTGGTGACTTTTCAGACTCTCTATGCCACTTTATCTCTAAAAGGTCACTAATGAAAATGTATACCATGGTCTGGGTGAATACTCGATTCTGATTGGCTGCTGGGTGTCCATTAATACCTGCTATAGGACACCTGCAAAGTAGTTCCAGGGAACAGTGGCTCATCAGCTGTGCGTTGCACAGTTCTGGCCTCCACGTCGTCAATTAATTCCTGATAATGCACAGCTTGTCACGCATTATTCCTTATATCATTTTTCTAATTTATCTGGGGTGATTCACAGACTATTCCGATTAATGTGATTTCAAATGTTAGTATAGTCATTAAAACTACATCTCCTCTCCCACGCTTCTCTCTGGAGCAAGAACAGGCGGTTCTGTGTTGCCTTTTAGCTCATTATATTAATGAGTGGATGAGCTCTCCAAAAGTGAAGCCAAAACAAATCTTTATCGCCCTCTGGTGGCTGACTGCAGTATATGTCATAAAGCCTGCTGCCTCCATGTTAGCAGATGAGACAGGGCCAAACTAAAACAAAAAAAATCCAAAGATGTTTCTGTCATTTGAGGAAGTTCTCATCACACTGGTGTATGTTCAAATGTTCCTTTTTTTGATCAGTTTGGTTTTAATTAGCTATTTGAAGCTATAAAAAGGGGTTTTACATAATGACTGACAGCTGAGCCCTGCTCGAGTCAGCCGGGTGTATGGGCGGTCACAGTGCTTATGTAGCGCCTAGACCTGCTTTATAATCAGAAAAGACATGGAAATCTCACTTTAAATGTAATTAATTTCATAGTGGATTAATTATTGAATCCATAACTAGTCCTGCATGTTTATCTCTTCTGTGTTTTCTTGTATGCTCCTGTGTCTTTTATCTATACCTTGAGAAAGTGTATGTAGTCTTCAGACACTGCCAGCTGGCTCAGTGCTGTTCTCCTCTTTTTTAGCTCGGCTATCTCCTCCTCCAGCTCTCTGAGCAGGCTCTGAGCTCTGTGCTCAGCCGATCGCAGACTCATCTCGATCACCTGGAAGAACAGGACAAATGTACACCATGTAGCCTAGTTAAAGCTGCAGTAGGTCACTTTTATAAAAATAACTTTTTGTCATATTTGCTGAAACTTTCACTATATGCTTACAGTAGTACTTGAGACAGATATTCTGCTCAAATACTGATACTGGGAATGAGACTCAATTATCAACTTTCTTCCAGCTTCCAACCAAAAGCTGTTTTTTATTTTTCTTGGCTCTGATTGGTTGTTTATTTATGATAGTGTTCAAAATGCTAATGTCTGTTAACAGTCAGAGAACTTTCCATTTTTTACTTCAATAAATATGTTGCACCCTCAAAGTGAACTGCCAGAAACACGTCCGTCATCATCAGTTTCAATAACAACTTCTCACAGTTTTCATTTATTCACATTAAATAGGTATTCATACATTCACATAAGTAATATTTTGACCTTGTAATAATCAAAATATGGATTACTAGAACACGCATAAAGTAAATGCATTCAACAAGAAAAGAATAGCTGTTTCAGTGTGCTGCAAAAAATTAAAAGGCCTTGAGTTTTTCAGTTTTTGTTATAAGATTCTACTTACTTCCCACATCAGTGTTATTTACCTCCAAGACTTCAGCTTGGCAGCGTTCCACACTGGAGATCAGCTTGGAGAAGGCACAAACCGCTCCCTCTGTCTCTCTTTCTGCAGCAGCCTGAACACAAGATGAACAGCAAAGAATGGGAGCTGCTTAAAGGCACCCACTGGAAGTTTGTCATGTCGGATACTTTTATGAGCTCACGGCAGGTTTTCTCTAAAAGAGACAAGTTGATTATGATATGATATAAACTAAAAAAAGTTTTGCAGACAGATAATCTTTTGTTAGAGAATTTTTACAAACAATTCTGTATTTCAAAAATAGTTCAGATTCAGTTGTGAACCTGATTTTCCAATATTTGCAAACTTGAAAATTAAATAGTTGCAATTGAAAATTTGAGTTTTTTCTAAAGAAGAAATGTAAATTATCATGGATTATGATTGGTTTATTTAAAAACTAGTGCTGTCAGTTAAACATGTTATTAAGAGTGTTAACGCAAACCCATTTTAACGGCGTACATTTTTTTATCGCGAGATTAACGTTCTTTTTGGCCTAGCACACTTTGTAGTTGCAACAACTAGTAACGTTAGAAAAACTACAACACCACACCGGATCTAGCTAGACCGGAAACAAAACAACAGGCACACCGCACACACTTGTTTAAGAGTAGTAGACGTTACGTTTTGAGTGGATGGCGAGTGCGAGACGCCGAAATGAATGCCAATAATATTCTGAATGGAAAGTTTACTTTTAAAAAGTTGCCAAATGGTTCCATTGACAAGACCAAAGTGATCTGTGTGTTTTGTCGTTGTGAACTGAGCTATCATCGCAGCACGTCCAGTCTGAAATACCACTTGATGGCCAAACACACAGCTGATGTGAATTCTCTGCCCCCTCGTCAAAGCCAGTGACAATGGATGACTTCAGACAGAAGCTCATGGATACCACAACTAAGAACAAAGTTACTGCAGCCATAGCTAAATGGGTGGCTACTGCATGTAGGCCTGTTAACGTTGTGGAGGACGAGGGTCTAGTATTTTTCTCAGCCTTTTATTGATGGACAGTGTTACATTGTGTGATTGTCATTGAGAGATTATTTGCTCCAAGTGAGAATGTTAGTGTGAAATTGAACACTACAGTATATGCCAATGTTGTTTTCAATAAAAACAACATTTGCACAAAGCAAGCCGATCCACTTTTCCATGTTTATAAGAGCATTAAAATGAGAAAACATAATGGGACAAAAAGAAATCAAGGGACATTTAGAATAGATAAAAATGTGCGATTAATTGCCAGTTAACTATGACATTAATGCGATTAATTACGATTAAATTTATTAATCATTTGACAGCACTATTAAAAACATTTACAGTGTTGAAGTATGTTTTACTGGCCAAGTTGGGGACTAATCCCTGACAAATAGTGCTGAGAAGAATTCTTGGAGAAACATCCTAAATCCTCATGGGATTATAAATAACACTCAGACTGGATTATCATATTGACGATTGATTGAGTCTCCAAAGAGTCCCTGTGGTGTGAAAGACATCTTGCCTTGTTCCTGTGCCAAAGATACCCCGTCCCAGTGGCTCCTGCCAACTACTCATCATAAGGAAACTAATTCATTCACACAGCAATTTGGGGTCCCGTATCTTGCTCAAGGATACTTCGACCTGCAGTGGGAATCGACCCGCCAGTCCTCTGATTAATGGACGACATGCTCTACTTCCCTAGCCACAGCCACAGGAAACAATAAATGGGACAATAATTCCAAACTTCTAAACCTGAAAAATAATCCAGTTTGTTACAGACTGAAAACTCACCTGTATCTCTCGTAAGGAGGTGTGTATTTCCTCCACTTTCCTCTCTTTGACACCGATTAGATCCTTCAGCTCCACCTCTGAAATACCTAACTGGGACTGGAGAGGACAAAAAAAGGACGAGGATCAACCTAAATGTGTCTATAACTAAAAGCCTTATCCTAAGCCTGTCACATATTCTGACCAGATGTGCATACACTATGTGTGATATAAAAGCTTTAATAGACTTTCCATGGCTGCAAAAAGAGTATAAGATGGTCAATAAGCATTTTTCTTGTTCAAGTTCATTTGTTTGCAAAGAGAGAACATACATTTGGCAGTTGTTGCTTCAGTATTTTACAATATTTTAATGTATTTTCCCACCTGTTAAATTTCGGACTGCACATTTTGCTATAAAAGAGCACGATTGCTTGTATTGATCTTTGCGGTATTGCACCTGTTCCATATATAACATACCATAGCCCAGGGGCAACTACTGGCAACGTAATGTAATGTGTGTGTGTTTGTGTGTGTGTGTGTGTAAGGCATAGCCAATACGAACCAAATAAAAAGGTTTTAGCATTTTGTCAAATAAAATCAACATTATACGTTATGTCCTGACCTGGTGTCTTTTACTCTATATTTTGGTGAACCTGAATAGTGGTAGCTCCTAGTCTTCAGTCTCCCTAGCTAGGCTAGCTATGCCAAATGCAAATTATATATTATATAATTATATATTATATAATATTATTGATATTTTCACTATATCCTGACAGTAGAACATGAGACAGATCATCTGTGAAACAATCAGCTTCCTCTGGCTCCTCCTAGTGCTGCTAATGGTATTTGCAAGAATTCACCGGGCTCAGACGAAAACAACCAATCAAAGCTGAGAAAGCTAGTTGATTGTGTGCGGCTGTAGCGCAGAGGCAGAGCGGGTCGTCCCCCGGAAGGTGGAAGGTTGTTGGTTCGATTCCCGGCTCCTAGTGCCACATGTCAAAGTATCCTTGAGCAAGATACTGAACCCCGAATTGCTCCTGATGCATCGGTGTATGTGAATGTGTATGAATGCATTAGTCTCAGTTAGATGGCCATTTACCATTGTTGAGTCTCATTCCCAAATCATCAGCTACTGATGCTTTGGGACACTGGGAATTCTCAGCTCTGATCACCTAATGCCATTAGGAGCACCAGGAGGAGCCAGAAGAACCAGATTGTTTCACAGCTTATCTGTCTCATGTCCTACTGTCAGGATATAGGATAATAGTGCATGGACAAATTTGTTTGCATTCGCCACCAACATTGCTGGTTTACTGGTATGTTTGATCTGCAGTGAGAAATTAGCGTTATAAGGCTCAAAAATATATGTTGCAGCTCCAGAAAGATTTTACTTTGCTTTTTTGGCTAAGATCGTTTTATTCATGGTAAAGATTGCTGATCCCTGCCCTCACCGTATACTATCTATGTATAGGATATTTTTGTGGTTATAGCATCTTTCAAATGATCATTATGTTTTTTGTCTGTAGCTAGATCAGACAAGCCAAGACAAAGTCACAAATGTTTTAATGTTTGAATAATCTCGTTGAAATCTGTCTTGTGATAATGCAGTTGCAGTGAAAACACCAGATTTGTTCCTAGTTAGACAACTATACAAATAAATACCTTCTTGATGTGCCACTCTCTTTTGGCAGGGATGACGTGGTGCAATCGGTGCTCTGCTGCCTCCACACATACGCTGCAGACACAGGTGTTGTCAGTCCGACAAAAGAACTCCAGAGCTCTGAGGTGGATGGGACACAGAGGCAGACTGGGGGAGGAGTCACTGGGGCCACTCAGAGTGTACCTGTTGTAACATTAATATCAAGTCATGATATTGTTGTTGAGGTTGCTGTCAGTTTTGCTGCTATCACAGCCACAGCCAATAATGTGATAAATGTGAGCTTATGTGTTTGCTACTCTATATTAGCTGTTTGTATACAGTGTGTGTATTTTTATGGGATATGGTAATAAAAGATAAAAAAAACCAACAATTTTTTAGACTTGGGGCCTGAGCTCCAAAACAAGCTGAACATCACACACGCACTTGATGTACTCCATATCGCAAAAAGTCAGTGGACACTCCCTACTAATTATTGAATTCAGGTGTTTCAGCCACACCCATTGCTTACAGATTCATACAATCCATGAAATCTCCAACAGATAAACATTTAGAATTTAGAACAGGCATGTGTAAGCCTCGCATCACTATGTGCAATGCCAGACAGTAGTGTAGCGCATGCTACAACTCTGTTTTTGGAGCGTTGAATCATGCTTCACTATGTGGCTGTCTGATCGATTAATGTGAGCTTGGCTGATACTGTACACCACCCACCAGAATGTATAGTGCTGACTGTAAAGTTTGGTAGAGGAGGGATGATGGACTATTTTTCAGGGTTTGGGCTACACCACTTAGTTCCACTGAAGAGTTTTCTTAATGTTACAGGATACGAAGACAATTTAGCCAGTTGGGCACAAAGCGAGGCCTATAAAAGAATGAGGAATCACAAGCCAGGCCTTCCATCCGTCCAACACCGGTACTGGACCTCACAAATGCTCTTTTGGCTGAATGGGACCTGACCAATGGGGCCTCTCCATCCCACTCTGCTTTGGTCTAACTTCTGAGAAATGTCTCTTAACTGCTAAATCCTCAACTTTGTTACCAGTAAGTATTTGTCTGTGTGCTGTTTGGTGCTGGACAGGTGGTGAACAGTGGCTTTTTTTAAAACTGAAAACAGCTGCCTGCTGCTGCTGGCACTCCTATGAGAGCTGTGACACTGAACCAAAAGAACAAATTACAGGCCATAAAACCAAAACAAAAGCTGAAAGAGGCTAAGAATCTCAGAAAAAAATATTCTAGTCTTGAAGTGCAGAACCAGATGATGATTCAATTCAATTCAGTTCAATTTAATTTTATTTGTATAGCGCCAATTTATAACAGAAGTCATCTCAGGACACTTTTCAAAATAGAGCAGGTCTAGACCGAACTCCTTAATTGGGACACTACAGATGACACATTTATTCATTTGACCCATTGTTCATCTAAAAATAGTAATTAGAGCAGCTTTTCAACTCAACATTTATAACACTGATCATCAACAGCGGCAAAAACAACAACTTGTAGAGTTGCAGCCTTTGAAACCTGTTTTATGGCTGAGGCATAGTGCCAGAATATTTTCACATCTAATGTGGTCAATTTATTTGGACTACACTAGAGTTTGAGATTTTTGGAAAGACTGTGGAAAGACTTATTTTTTTTAAATTCAGTTTGAATGAAGTGTGTTTTATGATGACAAAAACAGCCTTGCAGGTCTGTCAATGGAGTCTGGAGAGCTGTAGCTGTTAATTAGTTTTGTTCTGGGATGCTGGTGCTCTAGTGCAACATCCTGTGACAGTGATGTCCCATATAGAACCTTGAAATTAGGCTTAGCCTCTTGTAAAAAAAAAATAATAATTTGCAGGAAAATGAATAATTGTTAAAAATCTCTCTACATGATTATGCTTCACTTTACTTTCATTTCTCTGTGTTTTAGTAATATCCTTTCCTTGTGGAGCATTACAGATAAGGTTAAATCCAACCTATTTAAATATCAACTAAGGAGTGTAGTTTGGTACCTGCGGGGAGGTGAGTAGGGTGGAGGCAGGTCGTTGTACTCATTGTTCTGAGCCTGGAAAGACAGGTGAGCATTGACTGGACTGGGGCTTAGTGGGTGAGAGTCACTGGGAGGGAGAAAGGTGGGAGCAGACCCCCCAGGAGTCTGCAGCTGCTGAAAACGAGTCATCATCTCAGCAAAGATGCTCTCCGGCATCTCAGTCGGCTTCTGGGCCAGAGACAGGCTCGGGTGATGATGATGATGGTGAGGGTGTGAGTTGGAATCCTCCACTTCACCTCTTCCATCCATTGAAAGTCCAGAGCTGGCCATCCACTTGAACTGTTCAGTGATTTCCTTCAGGGTTCGGTTGATATGAAGCTCTGGTCGCTTGCGGAAGGACTCCTTGCAGAGGGGACACTGGTAGGACTTGGCAGCGCCCCCTCCTCCTCTTCCTCTGTCCCAGTAGGAGGAGATGCAGGCCTGGCAGAAGCTGTGGCCACATGGTGTTGACACTGGGTTGTTGAACACTTCCAGACAAATCGAGCAGGTGAACTGGTCTTCAGATAGGAAGGCAGTAGCCAATGCCATGGCCATCCAACTGCAAGAGAAATAGTGTTGGCTTTAGAAAGAAATATGTAATTCAGGATATATAACCACTGTGACATACTTGATGTCTGATCCTTTTTGTAATCTACTAATTTTCCGTACTTGTGTAAGAAACAACTCAAACAGGTTCTGTATGGTAATGCAAAATACTGTCGGGCCACATTTACACACATGAAAAGGTCTTGCTTTAAATAAACACAAGGAACAGTTGAAGGAGCTGCTTAAAACAGTCCAGATTATTAGGGGAAGATGATTCCAGATGGTTGCGGCTAAAACAACAAAAGCCACCTTTAGTTTTGCAGTTGGAACGGGGGATAGGTAAAAGGCCAAGATTTGAGGACGTAAAGAAGTGGAGTGGATGTAAAGTGGAATGAGGAACAAGAAGATGGTAAATGGTAAAGGGATCTGTACTTGTATAGCACCTTTCTAGTCTTCCGACCACTCAAAGCGCTTTTACACTACATGCCACATTCACCCTTTCACACACATTCACTCAATAATAGCAAAGTCCATCGAACAGAAACTAACTCATTCATACACATACAGAAACTGATGCTCAGCATCAGGAGCAATTTGGGGTTCAGTATCTTGCTCAAGGACACTTCGATATGTGGCGGGAGGAGCCAGGGATCAAACCAACAACCTTCGGATTAGTGGACAACCCACTCTGCCACAGCCGCCACATCTGATCTGAAATGTAACTGGGTGCAAGGTCATGAAGTGCCTTATGTAATCAATCTACAGAGTGGAGGGGAATTTAGGACTAACGCTGTTATAGGTGTTTGGTGATGGAACTCCCAAAAAGACAGAGCAGTCCTTAAACGGGACCAATTGTAGGATTTGGTGGCAGGAGGACTACGTTGGTAACTTTCAACATGGTGGCCTCCATAGAAGAGGACCTGCTCCCTCTGTAGATAAAAACGATTCTCATTAATATATACAATAATAAAAACATACCTATTAATATTATATTACATTTCCTCCTAAATGTTAAACACTGGACCTTTAATCTAGTCCTACACTGTAAAACAAATCTGTAAATTTTCTGGGGTTTTATTTTACAGATTTATTTCTGTATTTATAATTAATACATTGCAATGTTAATAAAATTACAAAAATAGCCTATGAATGTACATGTCTAATGAAAAATAAGAGGAACAATCTGTAACTGTAAATAATCCTAAAATGACTGCTTATTTCATTTTTTCACATAAAAAGATCAAAGCATTTTTTGTTGATATTTATTGTTAATCTAATAGATTAAACTGTTAAATTCAAGTTCAATACTGTTAATACATTTCTAAAATTATGTAAAATCAGTATTTGTTTGTAGTTTTAGATGGATTTGTTTGTTAATTGAAATATATCTTGTATAATTATGGATGTTTTCACAACAAAAACATTAAATAAATGCTTTTTATCAGTGTATAAGCACTGGTAAAGTCTCAAAGTACAGTTTTTATCACTGAAACAGAAATAATTATTGTAATTTCACAGATAATGACTTTTATTACTGTTTTATAACTTTTGAAATTCAGATTAAAATAAGAAAAATAACATAACAACACTCTTCTGTAGATTAAACCCTGTTTAAGCCCATTGTTTTTACATATGTAGATATCTTAAAACATTAAAAAGACCAAAAATAACACAAGATTTTATGTCAAATTAAAGCTAAAGACTGTATTTTAATTATAGAAAATGACTGTATTTTTATGATGTTATTTTACAGTCACCTAAGCTGAAACTAATCCTGCTACTAACCTGATTCAAGAACTGCCTCAGTTGTAGGAGTGAGTGTTGCACACACGCCTCCTGCACTTACACACACCCACACCAACCTCCTAACTGAAACAATACAAGTGAGTGGTTTCGCAAGATCAGGAAATTCAGGTTTGGTTGGAACATTTAGACTCCATCTGTTGACCATGAGGTGATCATTAGAACGTTAAATATGGCAACAAACCTGCAAGTCATCATCCACATTTCCTTTTCTCTCTGTTCAGAAATATTAGCCACCAGATTGTCCCCTTACAGGACCAGTGTGTATGATTTAGTGGCATCTAATGGTGAGATTGCAGATTGCAAGCAACCGAATACCCTGCGCCTCACCCTGTGAACTTTCTCACTCTTTATACTACATCACCTGACTTTGAGGGTGGGTGCAACCAGATATGGCTGTACAGAGGGGTACCTACAGTGCCATATTGTGATCAGAGGGCCACTGAGCAAGCAGCTGTATTTGACAACTTGGGACTAAGACCTGATTCATTTTTTCTGGGGACAAGCTCTAAAAAAAAAAGAGGATATCTTATTGACTAAAGTACCCCTTAAATTATTAAATTGTATGTATTTAGCCTTTATCAATAAACAATTAAGATTTTTAGCTGTTTTTGTTTTACCACTCAACTTTGGGAGTCTTATAACTAGCCCCCTTTAACCCTAACCCGAACCCGAACCCTTCCGAGATTCAGGGTGATTTATAACAGTAGATGTCTTGTTGAGCCATTTTTCAAGCCATGAAATTCAGATTTTTATGAATTGGATGAGAATGTCAATATTAACACCAGTACTCATAACAGTACAGTCTTATAATTCAGTTTACAACTTCAAAAACACGTTTTAGGGCGGAGTACCTCTTTAATAACTTGTGAGACACTTACGTTATTTGCTGTGGCTCAGGCACTGTGTTGTGTGTGCACAGTGCATCACCAACTGTTTATTTAGCAGCTAAAATGCTGTGTCAGAGATACACTTGTTAAGCAGTGTAATTGCTGAATTAGTTTAATTATGTTTGTCTGTCTCTCTCATTGTCTGTTGTATGTCTGAAAAGAAGCAGCCCACACACACATAGACACACACATAGACACACACACACACACACAGACACACACACACACAGACAGACAGACAGACACACAGACAGACAGACACACACACACACACACACACACACACACACACACACACACACACACACACACACACACACACAGCTACCTGCAAGGGCCGTGTATTATATGTATTTGTCGCCTTACCTCAATCTAAAACCAATCTGAACCACTACCTAAAGCTACTGTAAATCTGATTCTAACCCTAACCTGTATGGATCTAAAGAATGGAAAGGGGACCTTTTCCTCAGCATTCTTAGCATGTCCAAAACACAAGTACACACACACAGCTGCAGTACAGGTAGCACCAGTTTCCCATTGGTGAGGTATGAAGTAAACAACCTGAACATAGTGATCATAGCGATATGTGTTTCTTCTGTGCAAGTACCTCAAGCAATTTGCTTTTAAATGACTAATATACACCATTCAGCCATAACATTCTGACCACCCTGGTGGCTTGCCTTTCCTTCCTTGGAGCACTTTTGATTGGTACTGACCACTGCAGACCAGGAACACCCCACAAGAGCTGCAGTTTTGGAGATGCTCTGACCCAGTCGTCTAGCCATCACAATGTGGCCCTTGTCAAAGTTGCTCAAATCCATATCAACCCATTATATAATATATATAATATATAATATATATATATAACTTTGAGGACTAAATGTTCACCTAATCTTTCCCACCCAGTGACAGGTGCCATGATAACCAGATAATCAGTGTTATTCACTTCATCTGTCAGTGCCAATAATGTTATGGCTGATCGGTGTACATGGACAATCATTAATGATTCCCAGTGATAAAAAAAACGTAGGATTTAGTGGCATCTACAGTAAAGCGCCTTCCGTGTGTGTAGGAGAAAAAAACTGTAGAAACATGGCCATTCAACATGGGGGACTCCATAGAAGAGGACCCACTCCCACTAAAAACACTTTATTCTTAGGCAACAAAAACAGAACAATTCTTAGTTTCAGGTGAATTTACAAATCAATGAAACCTTCCATAACATATTCCTGAATTTAAATACTTAATGAGGCTTTAATTATTTTGAGAAAGATAGCTGGTTTAAGCCTGGTTCTAGGCCTCTGAATCACCACCTACAGAGTTGTGAGCTAATCCAGGTGGGATTAAGTATAGACATCTATCTATATATCATCTCTATCATGTTTAATTAAAGATATTTACACATGTAAAAACAATGAAATTACCTATACATACAAGAAAACACTGCTATAATACAAATAATCAGGCTTAAATGTACAGTAGAGTGCTGTTTTTTCTCTTTTTAATCTGAATTTTAAAAGTTATAGAACCGTTATAAAAGTCACCATCTGTCAAATTACTATAATTATTGTTGTTTTAAGTGATAAAAATTATATTTTGACAGTTTACCAATGTTTATGCGCTGATAAAAAACCTTTATTCAGCATTTTTGTTGTAAACATTTTCAAATTTATACAAGGTATTTGTCAATTAATAAATCCATGTCCCAGGTTGTCGAATACCGATGCCGTTTCTCACAAAAGAACTGATACAAAAGAAAACATGAAAACAACCAAGCTGAGAAAGATTTAAAGAAACTTTAGGTTTGAAGCTTGACAGTTGATTGTGGAGTCTCATTCCCACATGCGTCTGTATTTGACACCCTTGGAATGAGACTCAATGATCGCCCATCTGTCTCAAGTCTGATTGGTTTTTTGTTCAGGCCCGGTGGATTCTTGTAAATGCCATTAGGAGCACTAGGAGGAGCCAGAGGAACCTGATTTTTTCACAGATTATCTGTCTCATGTTTTACTGTCACGATATAGGGAAAGTTTCAGCAATAATGACAAAGTTATTTTTATAAAAGTTACCTACTGCAGCTTTAATACTTATTTAAACGTCTTTCTCTGGTCTGTCTGAAGTGTAGTTTTATGCAACAGAGCTGTAACTACAGTGCTGAATGGTACGGTTGACACCACCTGTCAACAGTACCATTCCGCACATTGTTATATATTGAGGAATCAGTCATGAGCTGAGTTCTGCATGGTGAAACAATGTACACAGGTCCCTAAAATAATCAACATTTCACCCCAGTGCCTGGTTCCCACCCGTTTTATCTGCCGTTCTTTCTCACGGCATTACATTCACTGTAAAACCAGATAAATTAAATTCACTTAAGAATTGTTGAAACTGATTACATTGAAATTTAATTTGGTGGGTTAAAAAAATTCTTGATCAAGCAGTTTTAGTAATTTTAGGGGACACTGGATAGTTTTGTAATTTTTATTTATACTACAAAACAAAAATACCTAGTACCTAGTAAAAAGTAATTAACTCAAAAGTAATTTACAAAATTGAGTTTGTGCTACTTTGGCTTCTTCTAATTTATTAGTTTCTACAAATTTTTGATGTAATCCCTTTCAACAATCTTTTTGAGTTAAAATATTCATCGCCCAAAGCAAGTGTGTTCTCCCACTGTAGGAACAAGAGATTATAATAGTGTAATCAGTGATCCCACATATCCACACATTAAATGGCTTTCTACATTCTTTCACATGCTACTCACAATCATGCTTCTAATAATAGAACAATTATCAAACACTAAAAATGCTTTACTGGACACATAACAAACACTGCGGTCAGCCTTTTTCCTGATAGGGATGGAGCATTACTGTAAGTACCTGTTCTCACTATTGTCTGTTATCTCATACATACTTTGAGATAACAGACAAAGGTGTATTGCAAATGTACAACAGGTTAGGCCATTAGCATGAACCACATACTGTCCAGACACCAAAAAGAGAACTTTATAATATGACAACATGTGAGACACATGGGTTCCTACTGAATAGAGAGGATTCCAGCGTGATCCTACCTTGCTTTAACATTACCTGTTGTAAGGACTGAGGTTATTTCAGAGATGTGGTCTGTGTTAGCGGCGGTAAACGGATCCAAGCCTGTCTCAGTGCCGCTCTCTCTCTCTCTCTCTCTCTGCACTCTTTCCTCCTCCTGTTAATCCTTGTATCTGCTTGTCAGTTGTCAGATTCCTCTCCTTTTTCCTTCCTTCTGTAATTGTGCTGCTGACCCCACCCTCTGAACCCCCCACCCACAAAGCTCATCCGATCCAACCTGCTCGACAGGTGCAGCTGTACAGGTATGCCTTTTTCAAACAATCTCTCCCTCACTCTTCTCCAGCACACTGACACTCCTCTCTGCTCCTTCAACCACTAGAAGGCCAGAATGACTGCTGCACAGATACAATCTGTTACACAACTGAAGAATGTATTGGTTAAAAAACAATAAATGTGTCAAATAAGTATTTAGAGAATAATTAGAAATGTGAAAGTCTTTTGTTTTTCTATCTACTCATGTGTTTTCATCCTCTTTAAAGACTGGAATCCTTTTACACTGTAAAACCAGATACATTTATTTAACTCAAAAAACTGTTTGAACTAATTTCATCAAAAATATTTAACTAACACAAACAAACATTTTTAGGTTAAAAAATAATCTTAATTAGGCCGCATTTTATTAGTAATTTTAAGTGGAGTTAACTTAGTTTTGTAAGTTACACAAACATTAACGCTATTTAATGAAGAATGTTATTTTTAACTTAATTCACTTCAGGTTTCAATTAAAATTTCGTTAGTTTTACTTTACTTTAATTTTTTTAGTTAAATGAATGATGGTTTTGCAGTGTAGGGGCAATGTAAATATTTTCTGAGAATCCCTAGTGCCCAAGAACTTTAATTTCCCTTGTGTTCAGTGTGCCTATACTGGGGAGCTCACTTTCTCTACTGCCATTGGCGATATATTTTCGGGTATTGTTTTATTTTAAGTTAATGATATTGGGCTGTCACGCTCCAGTGTTTATGGCAAGAATAGCATTATGTTTTTTAAAGTAAAATAGTGATGAGTCACCCTCACGCACTAATCATACATCAGTAGTAGAGTCACATGATGAACTGCAGATAAAATCTTGTGTACTACAGACAAGAACAAACTCCCCACAAACTCACTGTCAGCAGCATTTTGGTTGTGAGTTGGTCTATCTCAGTGGTGGAAGCCTATTAAGTCTTTATGATTGATACAAATATTTAAAAAAAACACAATACAGACAGAATTGTATAAAAGGTTGCAGGAAAACTAATCTGTGATGCAATATTTACAGGAAATAATCTGTTCAAAATGCATACAAATTGCTTGTTTTACACAAACTCAAAATAAAACCTGTCATTTATTCAGGGGTCGACAGTTCAGGCAACGATAAACAGGTTTTTTAAGATAATTAGGCTACTCATACAAATGCAATTGTTCCAACTAGTGTTTCCACATTATGTTAAAACATCTAATCAAAATAATGTTAGCAACTTAAAATGTTTATTTAAATCAATAAATTAGAACATAGAATTTAATTCAATGGTAACAATAGGTATATATATATATCGATATATATATATCAGAACCAGCATTAACTGTTTCAGCAGTTTGAGTTACAGTAGCTCGTCTGTTGGATCGGACCACACGGGCCAGCCTTCACTCCCCACCTGCATCAATGAGCCTTCAGTAATCAGTTACCAAGCTCCTCTCCTGTGGAACCAGCTTCCAGTTGTGGTTCGGGAGGCAGACACCCTCTCCACATTCAAGAGTAGGCTTAAGACATTCCTCTTTGATAAAGCTTATAGTTAGGGCTGGATCAGGTGAGTCCTGAACCATCCCTTAGTTATGCTGCTATAGGCCTAGACTATCGGGGGATTTCCCATGGTGCACTGAGCTCCTCCCTTCCTCTCTCTTTCTGCACTCATTCATGTTCCATTAATGCATGTTACTAACTTCACTTCTTCCCCGGAGTTCTTGTGCTTTCTCGTCTCGCAGGTTCTTATCGATCCTGGTGGAGCCTCCTGCCATGGTCCTGCTAGATTGCCATTACCAATACTGTTGTTGCTGTGCACCTATCTGTCTGTCTGCCTCTCGCTCTCTCTGCCTCTCTCTCTCTCTCTTTCACCCCAACTGGTCGAGACAGACGACCACCCACCTAGAGCCGGAGGATCTGTCCTAGGTTTCTGCCTTTTAACAGGCAGTTTTTCCTTGCTCTTGTCGCCAAGGTCTTGCTCATGGTGGTACTGTTGGGTCTCTGTAATTAATGTTTAAAGAGTTCGGTCTAGACCTGCTCTATTTGAAAAGTGTCCTGAGATAACTTCTGTTATGAATTGGCGCTATACAAATAAAATTGAATTGAATTGAATTGAATTGGCCCCCCATGACCCTGTCTCTGGTTCTTTTCCTTCCTTGGAGCTCTTTTGATAGATACTGACCTCTGCAGACAGGAACGCCCCACAAGAGCTGCAGGTTTGGAGATGCTCTGACCCAGTCGTCTAGCCATCACAATGTGGCCCTTGTCAAAGTGGCTCAGATCCTCATGGTACTTGTGGTACAGTGAGAAGACATGAGATTTCTCAGCACTGATTGGTTGTTTATCCAACCATTAGGAGCACTAAGACTAGTTCTGACCGAGGCTTGCTCAAATGTTATTGGCAAACAGAATGAAAAGGGGCGGGACTTAGGAAGGGTCCACTCTGCAGTACATACAGTATTGATCTGCAAATACACTGAACCTCTGCCTCTCCAGACCACACGGTTGTATCAGTTCACTTTCACTGTCTGTGCCCTTCCTGCTGGTTGGCCTTTAAAGTTTTAGTGACCTGATGAAAGTAACAGGATGAACGACTGCAAGGTAGCGATCCACACAGACATGGCACTGGAAAAGGGTTCTTTCAATCACAGCCATGGTAGAGTAAGTTTATCAGGGGCCCAAGAGTAAATAAAAGCTGACTGGAACGCTGACCATGCGGTCTGCTGAGTCAGTGAAAATAAAAAAAACACCGACACTGGAAAACATTGAGGAACTGTTGGCCATTTTTCCTTTTCTTTTCTGAAGAATAGACCTGCACCTAAAATAAAAATCTTATACTGAACACAGGTGGCATTTCTATATATAATAATTGTTGAATATTATTTATTTATTACTTTAGTCTTTTTTTAGGTTAGACTTTGAAAAACTAGGCTAAATGTGTGAAAATTTAAAAATACTAAAATATCCAAAACGTTCACCCTTATTTGGTATTTGAATTTAGAGAGCCACGGAACCTCATTCTGAAATTCCTATTTTAGTGTTCACAAATTCAGATCGGAAAATTCAATCTTCAGAAAAATTAGGCCTACCATATTAACAGCATTAAACTTGAATTTGACAGTTTAATCTATTAAATAAATAGTAAATATCTGCAAAGATTTACAAATGTATTTTTTATATATTTATGTTTGTATGTGGAAAAAAAGAAAATTTTCTTTAAATAAATAGTAATTTTATGATGATTTACTGTTACAGATTCATATTTTTATGTACTTAAGAAATAAAATCTGCAAACGCAGCTATTGTTTAGGAAATGCCTTCTGTGCTTCTGAGATGGAAAGCCAGAATATGTATAGTTGTTACCTTGGCAGCAGATAATGGTGATCTAAATAAATCCACATTAAACCCAGCTGCCGGAAAATGTCTTTAGATATTCAGTTTACAGTCAGAGGACTGAAGAAAGCAGAAAATATTGACATTGAAGAGAGCTGAAATCAGAGAATTTCAAAATGTTTCTTAAAAAAATGACTCAAAACAATTAATCGATTAAAAAAATAGTTGCAGATCAATTTCGTAATTGACATACTGTGGAGCTGACGGGGAAACTGTAGCTGTATTGATCAGGTGACTCACTCACTTACAGGGCGGCTGTGGCTCAGGAGGTAGAGCAAGTCATCCACTAATCACAAGATTCCCGGCTCCTCCGGCTGCACGTCCAAGTGTCCTTGAGGTCAGAGGTAAGATCCTAATCCTGTGGTCGGAACTCTACAACAACCGGACCACATAATTCTAAACAGTACTGCAAAGTGGACACTTCTGAGCCAAGTGCCAAATGTGACGAAATTCCCTCAAGGAACGCTGTGAGATATTGCGTTCACAAGGATGGGAGGAAAAACACGGCTCCAGCCACAGCTACTGGAGGCTGAGCAACTGTAATACAGGCAGGCTCATCAAATACTATTAACCCAGATGGAAGTGCAGATGGAAAAATTTCAGAAAACAGTTTAAGAAAAACATTTTATTGACTGTGCACAGTTCTCACTGCCAGCCATCTTCCACTGTACACTTTCCATTCATCTCTCTCAAGTGTGTCTGTAAAATGAATAGCGCATATTGAAATGACACAGGACATGAGACTAATCTACACCAATGGGAGAATCTGGACCCTTAGCGACAAATAAAGAGACAATACAAAAGGGGGAGGGGGATTCAGTCTACACTTTCACAGCCACATTCAGCTGCAGTCAGGTCTAGTAGTCCCATTTGCCTTCTTCGTGGTCTTCAAGTATTTCTAGGAAAGAAAAGGAATTATAAAATGGCATCATTTACATATTGGACATGGCCATATTGTGATTTCCATTATATTTGGATTCATTGTGCAGCCCTATTTCTACAAACTGAACCTGTAACAGTCTCTAAGAACCTGGTGTTGTTAACATTAGAGGAGAAAACTAACTTTACAGTATATCTACCATAATAACTGTGTGTGTGTTGCCTACCTGTAGGTTATCATAGTGTTTGAGGGTTTTGCAGTGGTTGATCTCTGCCTCTTTGGTTCCGCTGAAGAACCTATTACACACCTTACAGAAGAAACCCGTCTTTGGGACCAAGAACTCCATACCTGTGGACACAGACACAAAGGTGAACTCAAACCGTCATAGTGAGCAGCAGTGATCAGGTGAATGACTACAGACAGGTGTCTTACCAACTGGGTTGCTGGGGTCGAAAGGAGGAAGGGAGGACTCTGTGCTCATGGGACTTTCTGTCTTTAATTTCTTCTCCACGCTCTCCTCCTCAGTGTTTGTTTGTTCTTCAGACCTGTCATGCTTTTCTGTGAGAGAGAGAGAGACCTCTTTAAAATCTGGAGAAAGTACTGATCCTGAATCCTACCTACAATAAATCATACCTGTCTCCACAGCAGGAGCTCCCGTCTCTTTGTCTTCTTCGTCCTTCATCCGCCCGTGTTCCTCTGTTTTGTCCAACCCCACCACCTGACTGTGATTGAAAGCACTGTCATCCTTTTCGCCTTCCTCACTCTGTGTGGTCACTACTCCAATGGCTGGGCTGTTGGAGGAGGTGTCAGCTGGGGTGGCTGGAGCTGCAGGGGCAGGTCTGGGGCAGGGTTCAACCTCGGCTGTGAGGTCCAGAGTGGCTGTCAGCGTGGTTTCTAAACAATGACAAATGAATAACACATGAAGTTACTAAGATTAAAGACAAATATCAAAGAAAGATGATTCCTTCGGTTAATAATACAGGTTAAACCAGTGGCAGGCTGTACCGGTCTCAGATGCTTCTGGTTGATGTGTTTGTTTGGGGGAGGAGTCAGACAGTGAAGCCAGTGAGGGGGATGCTGTGGCGGTGAGGATGGGACCAGGCGTCAGATCCAATGACCCCAAACAGTCTGAAGTGTCAGCTGTTGGCTCAGCTGTAGACTCTGATACCTGCTCGTCAGACGTCACCAGGGTCTCTGTGGTGTCTGAAATTCCTGTTTCTGTGGTTACCTCCATGGGTGTGTCCTGTAATCAGAAACAAGAAGAGGACCATGATGGAAGTTAACGCCTCGGTCACCTCAGTAACAGTGTAGAGGAACTTTTTTACCAAGTCAAAATGCACCTCTGCAGCCTTTTCCACAGATGTGAGAGCGTCTTCCTTTCTCTCTGCGGTTTCCATGGGAACAGTGGGAGAAGGAGAGCTAGGAAGGTCGGTCACATCTCCAACTTCATCTAACGTCACAAAGTCACTCATGTTGAATGGGAACTCGTCATGTTCCTCCCCCTCTTCCACCTGATCGCAAGACAGGACAGAAATATGAAGTGAGGATAAGAATAGAGAGGAGAGACGGAACTCCACTTACAACACTTTCTGATAGGGTTGGCTCCGTTTCTGGTGTAAAAGCTTAAACCGGATTGATTTTGTCCAAATTGACTGAATTGGCATTTGTCATTACGAAAAGCAAAATCAAGCCTTTAGCGGGCATTGCTACAATACTCTCCACCCTGTCTGCATGTAGCTTTAGCATCACAGCTGACAGACGAGGTGTGGAGTGAAGCTGCACAATGAATCCAATATTAATCACCATCACAATTTTGTTGTTTTCCCAGCAGATTAGTCTGAAATAAGTCAAGGAGAGATGGGACAAGAAGGAGCAGCCACAGTGAGCTGCACATCTCCAACCTCTCAGCTAGGTAACCAAGGTTACTTTCACTGTCACTGTTCACAGGCTCGTGCTGTGTGCAGAATACAATCAGATCACAGTTGCTCATCAATGATGAAAAAAGGCAGATTATTGCATGCCTTCTTCATCATTTTGACCATAAGCCCTAGTGCGGAGGCAGCCAGCTTCTACAAGGTAAGCTGCTAACTGGTTTGTGAAATAAGTTTGTGTTTGCTTCTGCATATTTATGTATTTCCTGTAAGAACAGACTGCTAGGGAGGGACTAGTTGTGGTAGCCAATAGTACTGAATGTGTGTTAAGTCTCATGATATTAATAGTTGAAATTTGTTGGTTCATGCTTATATAGGCACACGCCTTTTACAAGAAGCAAAAATGATTGGATTTTGATATAAAAATACTGATTATATAACAATAATAATAACAACTGACTTCTTCTGACTGACTGACGGTGGATGGGTGCTTAAAGGGTTAGAAAAGCAGTTTTCATTTCACCTGGACTTTAATAAGCAAGGAGCCATCAGATTAACTTTAATATAACCCTGAAATATGATTGCTATGTTAGCCTGGTAGCTAGCCAGCTACAGTTGGTCAGTACACTCAGTAGCAGACTGTAAGGTAAGTACAAAGCCTTGATTTGATGCCCTCCTGTTCATCCCTGTTAAAGTTACTGCAATAAGCTGTTAATAGAAACTTAACACTTGCTGTATGTTTCAAATTAAAAGCCCTATGGTATTTCAGTGGAAAGAACAAGGCTTTTATTGTGAAACATTTATAGGAATGTGTTGTGAAAATCTTGCAGGTCTTGTTCCACTCAGGACACCTAGTGATAAAATGCAGTATGACTGACCCAGTCCAGTATTTGGCTTTATATTACCTTTATACTGCCCAACCCTACTTTTTGCCCGACAGTCCTCTCACCATTTTGGTCTCTGCTTCTGAGTCGTGCTGTTCGTCCCTCCAGGAGCTCGGCTTGTATCCCTCCGACCTGGAAGATGACCTCGAACACGACAAACCTCCACTGTATGCTCTCTTCCTCTCCCTCCTCTCCTTTTCCCTCTTCTCCCACTCCCTCCTTTCCTCCTCCCTCTTCTCCCTCTCCCTCCGGGCTCTTTCGTGCCACTCCCTCTCCTTCCTGGCCCTCTCCTCCTTCTCCCAGGCCCTCCTCTCCCTCTCTCTCTCCCTCAACTCCTCTTTTTTTGCCTCTCTCTCCTTTCGCTCCCTCTCCTTCCGCTCTCTCTCCTGCTTCCTCGCGTCCTCCCCCGTGTGGGTCTTGGCCAGCTCTTTTTTTGTCTCCGCTGCCACTTTTTCGCTCTGATCTGTGTCCATTTGTGTCTCCCCCTGTTCTCTGTTGACGGACACTGCCGCGCTGTTGGGATTGCCGGCAGTTCTTGTTCGGCACTCCACAAGCAGGGCGTTGACCATCTCTTGAGTAACCTGGCGAAACGGGGATCAGAAAGAGTCGAAACAGGTATCAAAAACAAACATCAAATATCAAGCTAAGCTACACAGGAGAACAGCCTGGCTCCAACAACAGAAGCAGACTCACATTTTCGGGATATTTTACCTTGGGCAGCTCTGGCATGGCTGTCTCCTGGGAAGCTGCATTGCCATCAGAGGTAGACGGCTTTGTCTCTTCACCAGCAGGAATCTCGTTATTTTCTGCTTTGGACACATTCTCGCCTTTCGTCTCGTCTACTGTCTCTGTGACATTCTCAACAGCTGGTGTGTGGGTCTCTAGGTCTACTTCTTGTGTGGTGTCTTTAGCTGCCAAAGACTCAGAGACAGGACCAGCAAGCCCATCTTTTTTGATCTCTTTTCTTCTGTTTTCTCCCAAAGCTTCGTCTTCACCGGCCGTCTCCTCTGTGCTCTTCACTTCCTCTGTGCTCTTCACTTCCTCGTCCTTTTTTTCCATTCCATCCAATGGGGACTCAGATTCTTCTTTACACGCCGTCTCCTCTTCACCTGCAGCCGCTGCCGCTTGCCTGCCTTTGCCATTTGCAGTTGTATCCTACGACCAGAGACAAGGAGGAATTGGTCAGAGTCACATCGAGCACCAGCATTCCAGTGTTTGATACAAGTAAAAGCTGCAGGGGTGTATGCCAGTAGTATATTAAAATAGATTTAACTCAACTCATTGCTAATCAATTATCAAAGTTACCAACCTCAGATACATCAAGGTATGCAGTGATGACTTTGGTCTGAGTGTTGGCTTTGGGGTCAGGCTTGCGGGAGAAGAACAGAGGGTTGCTCTGGATGATGCATGGGAACGTCTGGAAGCGTTTGTATACAGACAGAGCCATTGCAGCAGTTGCCATCTCACAAATGACCTGGGCAGTAAGATACATAGCAAATAAGTTTTTCTGCCTGATAAATAAAAGAGGCGGGACAGGACAGATGTGGAGTGAATAGAATTATAGGTTCAGGACATAACGGATAAGCAGGTTTGCAGCTGCCCTCACCATGCTGCTGAGCACTAGGGTCTTGATGACGGTACCAAAGCGCCGTACCAGTTTCTGGACCTCAGTGGACCCAGACGGCGTGTTGGGTACGTTACTGATCACCAACAGGCTGCTCCAGCCCACTGGAACAGGACTCTCCTGCAGCAAACAAAAGAAACAGCCACTTAGCCACTTACTAACCAATTTTTAAAAAGGTCCTGCAAAGGTCTCTACGCCTTACAGGACTGTCCTTGCTTATCAAAATCCAAAGAGTGCTACCCTAAGGTTCTTTTAAGCTGCTTTGGACAAGCAGGAAGAAAAACTGAGCCCACTGCATCACAGCTGTTTAATTGGAGCAGGATGTAGGATGTTCTATCATGCAGTCACTGTGAGGTAGCTTAAAGGGATAGTTCAGGTGGGGCTGTGTGAGGTACTTACCCAGCTCTATTGAATATGGGTGCCACCACCGATTTCCCAATTTGATTTGATTTAACCTTGATTTGGTTCAGGATGTTTCATTTACAGTACCAATTCTTCTTGTATAGAAAGATATTCTCAGAGAACTAATAATGTAAATTGTACCAGGATGCCTTTAACCTGGTGCATTATTACAAAATATATTAATGTTACATTAAGACTCACACTTTCACAATTGTCTGAAGATTTTTCATGAATTTTTTATGAAAATAAATGGGTTTCATAAACTGTTATATATATATGTAACATTCTGACTATGTATGCTATTATGGCGTTGGTGCAGCTTTGTTTATCCACTGTCCATGGAAACGACAATGAACTCAGCCAAGTACTCTTCCAGTCTTTCTTTTTGAATGCATTTTAAGAAATTCTGATTTTTACATATATAGTGGAAATAGTCTGGAAACACAAATATTTTTCCATACTTATCCAGACCTGGAAATGACCAAAAACTAATTCCAAACTTTTCCATGCTGCATAGGAACTCTGTCTGACAGCAATGTAAAGTGGTGAAAATATTCTACATATGGAGTACACATAAACGGATAGTGTAGCTCACCCAACCCTAGTTAAAAAAAATTAACTAACAAAAAGAGACCTTTGCAGGACCTTTTGGTTACTGTGATAAGAATAAGTGTAAATCTATTTTTGGATTGCTAAACAAATACACACAATTTTGAACGATCAGTTACTTAAACATTGTCAGTGGACTACAGATGGAAAACTTTTAGCTAACTGTGGTGCATTTACAGCGTTTACAGAGTTTATTATAAACCAGTGAATAAAATAAACTGGACAGAGACCTATACTGGTAGAAATACTCACTAATGGGTCTGCTGATCCCATCAGAAGATTGTAGAGACCCACCTGTGTGAAGAGTTTTAAGTATCAGTTATTGCTCAAGCGTCACTGATAAACACAAAAAGGGAAACAAACTAAAAACATCTATACACACAGTGAGTGAAATGTCAAAATAACATTAGATATACTGCAGAGGAAAAGTGAGTAATGATGAGAGCCCTACCGGTGTGCTGAGACCTATGCACTGTTTGAGATGGGTCATCTTCAGCTCAGTGTCATTAATCTTCATAGGCATAAAGGCATGGACCTTCACTATCTCCTGAGCGATCTCCATGTCTGACACAGACACAAGAACCTAACATACAAAAAAGATGTGTTTTAATAGTGAGTTGTGGGCACATCAACCATCCAAACAGTCATCTTCAGACATTAGCCTGCTTGAAAAAGAGCTCAGGGCTAGAAAAATGAAAAGTAATAAACTGCCAAACTGTGGAAATAACAACTCAAAAATCCACACAGGAAACATTCTGAATGTAGAGATTCATTTTGGAGAGGGCTGCAACGGTACACTAAACTCACGGTTTGGTATGTACGTCGGTTTTGGAGTCACGGTTCAGTAATTTTTTGGTACAGCAGGGAAAACAAAAAACTGCAGAAAATTGGCCATCATTTTTACTGTAAGGCACTCAAACAATGGCATATTGTCAATAAGAAAAAAAAAACACAAATGTCAGTAATGCTCAGTGATACTCTGACCAGAACACTCTCAAGTATAAAATAAAATAATTAAGACTAGCGCAGCATATTAATAATAATCGGCCATTAACTATTCGGCTTTTAACATTCAGTTCATGTTCAAACAAAGTCAGCCAAGAACATTTTCAAGTTTTCAGTAGAATCTGTTTGTCCGCATTGTTGTGATTGTTGGAGCGTGACTGCAGCTAGCGGGGCTCAAGCACTTTGAATATATTCAGAAATCCTGTATTCTCTCTGCTGAGTATAGTCGCAGATCTTGAGCAATAAATACTACAGCAATAGCTTATGCTTTGGCACTGTCTGAATCTGCAGTGAGAGGCTACCTGGACGCTGTGGGGAGACTGACTTTGTCTCATTCTGACAATCGTCACATTCATATAATGCTGTCATTAATGCAGTTTGAAGTGTTTCCACAGACAAATTCGACTTCAGATGAAGGATGTCAGAATGCAGTATTTGGTCAACTGATGTTTTTCTGTTTTCTCTGTTAATTACCGGGAAACTGTAACGCTCCCATACAGTGGATCTCAATGTCATAGAAACTTGGGTCTCTTATTTGTGTTTACCATTTTGATGGCAGCTAACTGGGCTAGATGGGTAAAGGTGACTAGCATGCTCTGGCTGACAGACAACAGCTGGTGAACTGCCAAAACTTTCTGGGGAAACTTGTGCTCTGGAAACTCTGTCCTGCATGTGCGAGTACACAGACATAACTATTTGGTCAGTAACACTTTGGGTCCCCGGGTGTACTGAACCGAGAGTAATAAAATTACCGTTACACCTCTCCTATTTATAGACATTCAGTACACAGACCAGAATCTCTATGGTATTGTGATATATATGATAGATATTCATGACCATTCATTGTGACTATCCAATTGAACAGCTGGATTTTTCTATCTTACCAAAAGACCACAGTTCTCCAAACTTGCACTCTTTATCATTGGTGTCCAGTTTTGTCCAAGTGTTTTCTCCTCTCCTAGAAACAGTAAAAGCTTCAGATAAAACTCTGCTGATACCAACCTTTCCGATTTGCTGTTGCCAGGATGATGTCAGAGGGAGTTCCAAAGGGTTGTAGCAGTTTGATGATGTCATTCTCTGACCAGCCGCTCTCAGGAAGTCCTGTGATCAACACCATGCCCTTCTGTAGGAGACATTGAGTGGGGTGTAAGGAAAATGCTTCACTGCTGACAATGTATTAGTAGTGATGAAGATCTATTTAAAACAGACATATAGCTTGATTTGAAATCGAAGGTACTCATGGATCCTGGTGGCGAGCCGCAGAATAAGTTGTTGCTCAACTTAATGATTGTTCTTTTTTTCCCCCCGAAAGACCCCCCCCCCAAAGGGGAGGTTTTTTCTGGTTTCTTTTAACACGCACACAGCCTTTTCACAACGATGCTTGCTCATGGTGGTACAGTTGGGTCTCTGTAATTAATGTTAAAGACGTCTAGACCTGCTCTATTAGAAAAGTCCAAAACTTCTTTTTAAATTGGCGCTATACAAATTAAAATTGAATTGAATTGAATTGAATTGAAATTGAATACAATAGAGCAGAATAAGTCCAATTAATGATTGAACACGCACACAGCCTTTACACAACGATGTCATTTACAGGGTTTGTACAGCGTCTTTAGAGTCAAATTCCTAACCTAAAGCAAAAATTACAGACTCATATCATCACCACTTCTACACTTTTTTTTTCCTGTGAAAAATACCCGCAACAATTAATAATTACGCATACTTATTTTCCTCCTAAAGGCTCATGTGAACAGCATATTCTGTTTGGATATTCCTAATTAGGCCTTATTCTGAATGGTGAATTTATTGTATATGTATACATGTATACAGTGCATTCAGAATATGCGTCTCATTTGGAGTTTTACCACAGTTTGGCTGTGCAATGTAAACATCCTCTTTGACACACTGAGGCAAAATGAACAACACGATGAAGGATAATTCCTCTGTAGGACGTACAGTACATCATTAACAGTTGAGTTAATCAGAGTGTGCACAGCTGCCTGTAAACAGGAACATTAATGGAATAATCCTTTTTATTAGCCTTGTAAACAGCTTATGGGAATATTATCTTTTTCAGAATAAATAATATCTTATGCCTGTAAACATACACCGAACAGCCATAAGATTATGACCAGGGTGCCCAGGTGCTCATAAAGTTATGGCTGATGGGTGTATATTGTCAGTGTTTATTTTACCAGCAGTTCATACTAGCTTTGATTGTATATTTGATTGTAATAAATTAATGCTGCTAATTTCCACAGTAAAGAAACCACAGAGGACATAGGATGTAGCTATGAATGATGAATGACAGGATTGTTTCATTTCAAATGTTAAAAGATTTTTGGTTTACATTAGTGACTGTGGAGAGGACTATATTTGAATTCAAGCCTACTGCCAACCTTGAAAACGTAATGGTTCAAATTAAGCTTTCAAGACTTTGTACGAACCCCAAATTTATATTCTGCAAGTAGTAGTATGTGTCATGTACCTCATCAGACAACTTCTGGTCAGCCTCACCTCCTGCAACGGGGAGTTGGAGGTGGGGGAGAGCAAACAGAGCTACAGTTAGTGTATTTTCAAAGTCACAATATCACAGACCTGTCTACACATGCCTCAGCTACAGAGGGGGCATCTTTTAATAGAATTAACCAGGTGGAGTTAACATACAGTTATTATAAGTTGATATACTGAGCATTTGACAAAGAAATGTTTGGATTAGGGATGCACATTTTTTGCAGCCAATACGATAACCAATAATAACCGGCTTCTCGTGGCCAATGCTGATAAGATAAATGATAATTTCACATTTTTGTATTTTTAAAAGAAGTTCATGACCTGTAGTCTTTGCACAACTCAAGGTTAATAAAGGCCGAGATATAGTGAGCAAAGATGGATACTTTAATATTCCAGAGGTCTATTTTAAGTCTCTAACTGACATCACTATTGTTTACACAACAACAAACAGTCCAGACTCTTCATTTTGTCTTTTAAAGTTGTTAAAAAAACTTAACATGCATCCTTTGACTTTCATAAAATCGTTTTTGCATTAGAATGCAATATAAATGATATAATTCACAATAATATAAATGTCCCATTACTGCACGATAATTTACGTGTCCCGATAATTATTGTGAATCCCTAGTTTGGATACAGCCTAGTTAGATTTTTCGATTTTCCTACCAGAGTCTTTCCCAGCAGCACCTTTGTCCTGTCCTGCAGCAGGTTTGCTGTGAAGACAGAATTATTAATAGCTGAGTGCAGTATGAGCAGGTTTGAAATTGGCAGGGTGAGTGTGCAGCATAATGGGTTGAGGCGTAAGATGATGAGAACTGTGACAAACCTGTTGTTAGCATCAGAAGATTGTCTTGCTTCAAGTTTCTAAAACAAAGAAATGAATAAAATATATTTACTTAAACTATACATACATGTGGTCCAAAAATTGAAAACAAGTGCATCATTTTGTGTTTCAAACAATTTCTCAATTAAGATTAGCAGATTCTAATATCAACTTAAAACACTATGGGAAATGCTACATGCTAAATGTTCCACACAGTACCTTGGCTACTGAAGCAGTCAACTGCTGGTCTCTGATGGAGAGATTTGTGGATTTAGCCAGAGCCTGGGCGTCTTCAGCCTTCACCATGCATACAGACGCCTGCAACAGTGGAGGAGGACAGAGTGATGATGTGGGACAGACAGAAACCACAAACAACACAGAAACAGTACATTTTATAGCTTTACACAACCACTACTGTTTCATGGGACTCAGGAGAAACCAACTGCTACAATATGTGCAGGTCTTTCTTGTAAGCCGCATTTACACTAAAAATGTAGATTTGGCTAATTTTGCTACAACAGAACAGAAAATAAACTTTTTAAAGAAATAGTCAGGTTAAAATATTTATTTTTGCCTGTAATATTCACTATATGAGCAAACAGAAACAGGGAATTAAAAAATATACACTTCAAATAATGAATGAATGAACAGGTCTGGTGTTTATGCCTGTTTATGAAGGTTGTGTGGGGTGTTTGATCCCTTCATACTTGTCTGCAGATTTAGGTTTTTTCTTGTATTATCTTGCCTCTATACAGGCAAAATAACAACTGTTCTGCCTGTTAAAATCTCAAAAGTTAAATTTGTTGCAGACTGTATGAATAATCATTAAGTCAGACTTAAACAACACCTTTTGCCCTTCGCCCTTCTCGCTCTCTTCCTCGGAGCATGGCATGAGGATCACATTATTGATCTTGCCAAAGAACCCGACCAAGTCGGTGACTTCTTGCTCCGACGCATCCTTCGGGATGCCTGTCAAGTAAACCAGGCGATCTGCCACAGAGGAGTCCTGGGAGGCTGGAGTCACTATCTTCTTCTTCTTCTTGGCTGGTGGAGGCTTGGTAGACTAGAAACCAACAGCATATGTTTAAGGAGAAATCCACTCAGACAATGAGAAGCAAACTAATGAAAGATTTCCCTATTTTGATCAAACTGTGAGTCTTAATTTACAGTGACAATGTGTGACTAAAGAAAAGGTGGAGATTTGCTCTCTCGAAAAATTACTGGTTAAAACTGACACTGTACCTAAAAAGACATTAAGTTATTAAGAAAATGGATACCAACACCAGTAGACGTTCCTGGGAATTCGATTTCGGGACCACAATAAGCAAAGATAAATGGGAAACAATTTTATTAAATGCAAAAAAGATATGTACAATTTAAGGTCATCCATAAACTGCATGTTACCTGGGTTATTAGAACGTAGTATGATCCTGACTGCTCTATAATCTGTGCAAATTGTAATATTGGCAAAGCTACATATTTCCATGTTTTCTGGGAATGCCCTAGTATCGTGAAATTTTGGATTAATGTTGGTTTGAATGGTTTAACTTGGATAAAAGCCAACATTAAACCCAGGAATCTGTATTTTAGGTTTGGATAATCCAATGTACATAATTATAATTGACATGGTGTACAAATATGAATTTCGTGTTTACAATGCACACTTGAATATGGAGTATTATTACTGCTACTAATAATAATACAAATATTGAACAAGACTAAAGAAAAAACCCAACCCAATTTTGTAAAACTGGCCCTACCTAAGTCCCGCTCCTTTTTGCTCTGTGCTCCAATAACAGATGGGCAAGCCTTGGTCAGATTTCTCCCTTGATGTACTTAGATAGGTTAGGAAAACGCTAGCTAATGATTGATGTAGGTTAGCTACCTAACTAGCTAGTTAGCTAGCTAATCTACATTGAACGTTAGTTCACGTTTTCCTAATCTATCTTTGTAAAGGATAGGAGAAAGTGGATTGTTGCTAGCTAACTAGCTAGCTAAGTTACATTAATCATCAGTAGCTAACTAGCCATCTTCAAAATGTGGTTGTCTTTTCAACATAGATTAGCCTAGCACATAGCATATCTAAACAGAGGAAAAAAGAAAGTTGACCGAGGTTGTGACTAAGGCTTGCTCAACTGTTACTAGAGAACAGAGCAAAAAGGGGCGTGGCTTAGGAAGTGTCCATTGGAAGAGCCATCTCATGACAAGTGACAAATTGTCTCACAACGAGAGTTCTGAATTCTGACACTCCAAAACATCTGTTTGATCTACCCTTCATTCTAATCTACAAAATCAGCTGTGGCTGAGTTCGGTCCAAAACAGTGGTGTTCTCTGTCAAGCTTTACTCAACTAAAGAGAAAAACACGCACTGTGGCACTTGCCGGTTTAGTCGTCTTGGCTCCAGGCTTCGTCACACCCTTGACACTTTTGGGGATGGGCTGCTTGGCGCTGTGACCCACCTTTGAGTAGGACGGATGACGGGTGGGGTCCGAGGAGAACCTGGTTGGATCATCATGTGGACGCTTCAGCCCACTGCGAGAGGGACCCCCTGCAGTAAACGCACCATGAATCAGGGAGGAAGACAGGAGAGCAAAAAGAAATGGTGTGAAGAAATATTTCCAAACAGAATCATTCAGATTGGTTAATTATAGAAAAAGTAGAGAACCAATGAAATCCCTGCATTTGAAGGTAAAGCCAGCAGAACAGTACTATAATTGTGCCTCTATGGGATTAACCAGTAGGGAAACCTGTTAGGAGGGCTATGCACACACTCCTTACTGGAGGTGGAGTTCCATCCAGTAACTACTACTGCACAAATAGTTCATGTCATGTTATTAACATTCCCTTAGTACAGTCTACATTATCACACTACATACCTGTGTAGTGTTGCTGGTGAGGGTGATGATGAGGTGAGTAAGGCCTCCCGCTTCGCCTGTGGAGATGGGGGCCCACCAGGCGTCTGCTGTGTGGAGGACTCGGGGTAAGAGAGCGAGAGGGGGATTGGGATGCGGAATGGGATAGAGAGTGATCTTTGGGATCCCACAGAGCCCGGCTGCCATATCTTCCACTGCGACTGGATCATAGACAATATTTATTACTGGTCATAACCAGTGAAATTATAGCAGAAAGAACACAACCACACTGACAAGTTTCACTTTTTCACTCTGTGGAGTTTAATTTAAAGGTCTTAGGGCCTGTCCTCACGAATACGTTTTTCTCGAATCCGGATAAATACTTTATCGTATCGGCCTCGCGTCCAGACGGATACGGCATTTTCGGGGTGTGAAACGGTATTTTTTGGAAACTGGTGCCAGAGTGGGAAAATCCAAAAAAGCCGGATTGCCCGGAGTAGTCTGGACGGCGAAAACGAATTAGCCCCGCCTCTCTAGCCTTTAACCTCAGCCGCCGCCACTAGACGCGTCATAACAACAACAACAATGGCGGATTACTACTACTTGTTTGTAAACAGCGCATGCTCCATGGCTTCTCTTCCGGTTTTAGTGTATTGGTGTGACGGCGTCACAGCGCCACATACAGGCATGGCATATGTACTACAGCGTTTTGGGTCGTTTCAGTGAATCCGCGTGGACGCAGATATTTCTGGAAACGACGCCGTGTTTACGGAGATTTTTTTCGAAACAACATCGTATTGGGTGAGGCCATGCCCTAAAACAATAACTATTTTCAAATGGATAACCAACAGAAATGCTGAGTAAGATCTGTGTCAGACTGGCTGTATATGCACAATCAAGTTATTTGAAATGTGTAGGACCCGCCAACTGACAGGAGTGACTCCCACTGGCTGCTGGTCACAGCTAAAAACAGATCATTGGAAACATAAGAACAAGAGTCCAACTGACCTCGGTAGATTTGGTTTCCACTCAGGGTACCTTCAGAGACACACACAAATACCTGTTAGCATGTGATTCAACATATTCTTCCTCCTTGAACTTTAATTTAATGGTCCTAGTTATAGTAAAAAAGTACATTTTAAAAAGCAATGGAATTTTGAGACTCTTCTAGCGTGACTCCGATACACAAATGCAAGGGGGTCGTCTGCAGCCAATCAGATGTCTCACTCCCAAAGGGTTCAGTCTAGACCTACTCTATTTGAAAAGTGTCCTGAGATAACTTCTGTTATGAATTGGCGCTATACAAATAAAATTGAATTGAATTGAAATTTACAGCCAATCACATGAGTGCCTCCCCACGAGGGGTTTTTAACTGACGTCATTACAGTGCGCAACGGATATGATGATGATATGAACGAAAAAGGAAACATGGCGTCTGGAAGCGGCAACCGCAACAATTTAAGTGTAAGTGACACATAACGTTTTGTTTCACTTACACTTAAATTGTCGCGGTTGCCGCATCCAGACGCCATGTTTCCTTTTTTCGTGAGGCACTCATGTGATTGGCTGTAAAGGAGTGAGACATCTGATTGGCTGCAGATGACCCCCTTGTAGAAAAAATGCATTTGTGTATCGGAGTCACACTAGAAGAGTCTCAAAATTCCACACACAAATGCAGGGAGGTTTACAAATTAAAAGCACTGAGACAAATGCACGTTTGACAATTCATATATCAATGTAACAACTTCCAAATATGTATTTGATGAAAATTGCAAATACCTGACGATTTGTACGTTTGTGAATTTTTATCGCACATATTTAAAACAAGAAATATTTGTGTGCGCATCACAAATATGTTTACAAATCTTATTTTTATATGTGATTTTTTTTTTTTTACCTATATATGGATTGAAGCATATTTGTGTGTGCATTGAAAATGCATTTGTGTACTGAGTCATATATATATACGCAACTCCCCAAATACATTTGTGAGTCCTTTTTCGTGCATTTATTCATTTCTGTGTGCATTTATCCATTATGAGACTGTTCTGGCTCCATAGAGGAAAGGCTTTAATAAGATTAGAGCCACAATTATCCTGTAATACTTTCTCATTCTGGTTTAAATTTTATTATCAGGAATAATTTGTACTGTAATTAGATTTTAGACTAGACTTTTTTAGAGATTTTAAGACCCTACACACACACACACACACACGCACACGCACACAAAAAAAAAAAAAACACACACACACACACACACACACACCAACATCCAGAGTTACCCTTTTTCAGCTTTTGGTTCTACGGCCTGCACACCAGTTGAACCCTCATCATTACATCGGATCCCCAAACAAGTCAATCGTAAGCTGTGTTAGACAGCCGGAGGGAAATGAGTCACTTATGAAAAGGGTTCATGTAACAAGTTAAAGGCCCAGGGATTTCTCTTTTTCAGGATATGATGGACTAAACCAGAGCAAAAGGGCGAGTTAATATTGAACTTTGATACAAGGTGTAACCAGAAACAACTTCAGCGCAACACACATTTGTCTGTATCTCTTGAATGTAGGCAACTGTTTGCCAACACATTAGCCATAAGCACTTAATGAATCAAAAGCATCTCTGGGCTGTGTTTGTTTTTATTGGTATCATATTGGTACGTCTTTATGCTACTTTATTTCTTTTGGTCTAATATTTGACGCGTTTTGAGTGGAAAAAAATGCAAAATGCTTATCTTTGTAACTATGACATAATATTGAAGATCTACTGGAGATGCAATGCTTCAGTAGCACATTATTACTACATGTCCTCACTTGTTGCGCAGGTCTCTGCAGGCAGCAGTGTGGTTGACGGTGTTAATATGCTCAACCCAGTCCTGGGGGGGGAAAAAGACAAATTGGAAAGCAAAATGTCACAATCAGAAACAATCCTCAACAAAAACTAGATTCACATTTCACACGTATAAAGATAAGCAAATTCAGATACCTAATTAATCCATAGTGAACGACTTATGTACTGAGACAAAAGCTCAAATAAATCTTTGTTCCCTGGAGTGTCATTTTTTAAACTTGATGTGAAAACCCTGAACTGAATGTTGAGGCCCAGATCTTCAGATCTTCAGATCTCACAGATAGCAGAAACACAATAAAATGCTTAGTCTTGTTCTTAAATATCAGTTTTTCGTGGTGGTAGAAATATTGTGTGTCCATTCTATTTTCAGTTATTTTCACCATTAACACCACATCACAATTAAAACATGTATTGTTTTTACTAGTCCTGTTGCAAATGCTGTCCAATGTATTTACTAAGTTATGTTCTGAGGCCTGAGGAGGACAAATCATTTCTTACACCATTATTTACCATTATCATCCATCAATCTGCTGCATATGCTATATGGAATTCCTGTCACAGCCTGTAACATACTGTATGACAGTTTAGTTCAAAATAAAAGAATACAAATCCATCTGTTCAACAAGCTTCCAATGATTCGGATAAACCAAAACGTTTAGAGTTGGAAACCTAAAAACCTTAGTCATTTTTGACAAAGACCACTTTACATTCAGCTGTATCATCACTAGCACTTCCCTGATGACTAAGGGGACTATTTATTCATCAGGCTAGAACCTTTATTTGTGTAGATTTGGGAAAACCTTTATATAAGATAGACAAATATGATTCCTTCATGAGAAAATGTAGGATGAAAGAAATGACTGGATATACCAGATCTTCAAAAGTCCACACTTGGCATAATTAAAAATTTAAGACAATCACACTCAACTGTAAGTAATTAATGAAGCCGAGCACAAACCATCTAAGTTATTCCTATGTATAGTCAGTCAATCACAACACCATTTGACAACATGAGAAAACTCTGCTCCAAAGCTAGAGCATTGTTTCTGTTGTTTCTCAGAGAACAAAGCAATTACTGCTGAACTAATATTTCTATTGTCCTTTGACAGTTCCTGTGATCAGTTTATACCAACTTCTTACGTTAACCATTTGTCCTATATATATATATATATATATATATATATATATATATATATATATATATAATATATATATAGGGCTGGGCGATAAATCGATTTTATCGATTAATTCAAATTTGTAGTTAAACACGATTTACTTTTAGTTAAAATCAGTTTTCTCTTGAACTTCCACAACACCAGCGCTCCCTTTGGGCTCCCGTAGGTCAGAGTGTGCTGACCCCTCACCCCGCCTCTCCACAGATAAACACAACACGGCAGCAAGCCAGGATGAGCTCATCCCCAAAAAAGGCAGAGTGTTGTCGGTTGTTTGGAACTGGTTTGGTTTTGTGGCGTCCGACAGCGAACAAACCACGACCCACTGCAAAGTTTGTTTGAAAGCTGTTGCAACCAAAGGTAGCAGTACAACAAGTTTATTCCAGCACCTCAAGCAGAGGCATACAGCCGAGTGGGAGAAATGTTGCTCTCTGCGGACCGCAGCCCTCATTTGTAATGTGTTTTTAAGAAGAAAAAAAATTTGATTAAAATCGTAAATCGGGTTTGGTGTGAAAAAATCAGAGATTTTATTTTTAAGCCATATCGCCCAGCCCTAATATATATATATATATATATATATATATATATATACACACACACACACACACACTTTAATTTTACGACCCTAAAATACCATGTGAAACACCATCTTACTGCCAATTTGATTTGTATTTGTGATTATACTTTATACTGGGGCAGGTCATAATACAGGAAAAAACCAATAGCATATCAGGTCAAAATCGGCAGTTTTATTTAATGAAATGGGTGGACCGGAATTGTTTATTTGTTTTATTAATATGTATTATGTGCTTGGAATTTTTAATCTTAAACCTATTGGTACCGTATGAGTCCATTAAACACACAGTGTTTACCAGAAATACAAAAATAGCTTTTTTTCCCGGGGAACGTTAGACAGGTCTGGTACTAAATATAAATATTTGGGTTTGCTAAGTCTCCTTCATTTAATGAGCACATCAACCTATGCCTTCTTTTCTTCTCTGCATATAATGTTCTTGTGGTAATATGAAGAAGTTTGGAACATAAGATTTGAACAGAAAACTGATTTTTTTTTTTTAACTAATTGAGAAACTGTACCATCTAATTTTCCAAAGTTCTATCTTTTCATACTGTCACTCAAAGTTGAAGCAGTGCTACAAAACAAGTTTCATAGCTCAAAAAATGGAGGGACTCTTCATCGGGCTTTGATCCAACTCAATTTTTACCGTTTTTAAATCTTTTTTATTCCATCCTTCCAGGAAGTTGTACTTTTGGGATTAATGCCAATTCCACCAATCCCTGTGAATTCTGCACGACCTTGCAATTTTGTGAAATTACCGCAACTTCTCCACAAATCTGACCAATCAGTGTGGTTTCCCGCAAGTTTCCCCAATCATGGCGCGCAAAGCGTTTAGCCAAACTTTTAGCGATTTTGACAACATCAATCAGAATTCTTTAGAAAAGCTGCTGTGAAATCAGCCATTTTAGGCCGCAAACGATCTCAAAAAAAGAGCCCACAGAAATCCTGGGGGGACTGTTTATTGTATTTAATTGCCATTCTTTTATTTTTGTTGTCTTTTTAACCTATTCTATCCATTTTTTTTTTTTAATCCTGTCTAGTTTTTACTTCACTCTATTATGGTCCACACTTGTCCTGTCTTATTATCTCTGTCATGTCACTTCACATCACTTTGAACTGCAGTAACCTGAAGAAAAGTGCCATATAAAAAAAGTTTGATTAACTGAATAAGTGAAATTAAGTGTTTTTAAAGCTGCTGTCTTAGCAGCAATTAACATTGCTACATCTGAAGGCATTTCAGTACAGACTCTAGATTTCAGCCATGATGGTTGGCCACATCCAGTTTTCTAAATGTGGGGTACAAATATCTTTCTTGATGCTTTCAAAGGAAACCAGAGCATGCTAGCACAGTTAGCATTCATTATCCAAAACAATGGATTTTGGGAACTGCCTAGTAAAGAAAGGCTGCAGACTAAATTTCAACATGTGATGGTATTCCTTTCAGACATTGGAACGAGGGCATGTTGGCACTCACCTTTTCCTGATCACACTGTATGTGGCACAAGGAGCAGGTATGGGGATACACCTTTGGAGATACAGATGAGAAATCGCTTATCATGGTGGGGGTAGGTAACTTCTTGCTGCTGCTGTGTGGTTTTGAGCCAGACGAAGAGGAGAGAGACCGTCTCGAGGAAGCCTCACTCCTGGTTTCAGATGAGGGCCTAGGTTTGGGTCCGTCACGCCTGTAGTCTTGGTCTAGATTACGAGATTTGGATGATTGCGGAAATTCTCTGCCAGGTGACCGATTGCTCTTGCGATGGTCGCGGCTTGTCCTGCGATAGTCTTGGTCCCCGTGCTTGCTCGATTCAGCGTGTTCCAAACGGCCCTGCTGCCTTTCAGCTTTATCTGCTTTTGGAGCTGATGAGGACAACGACGGAGACGAGTACATTTTAACTGTCCTTTCACTGGAGAGCTGCTCTCTTTTGAAAGTCTCTCTGGTGCTACTGTCATCCTTTGCCCGGCTGGCATGACCATAGTCAATGACTTTACCTGCTGTCTGCGTAACAGTAAGAAGGCTGGGCACTTCCGGGGAGTGTGAACGTGTCAAAGGCGAAGAGCGGGAAGGAGGCAGCGACATATCATGGATGGTGCGTGAGAACGATGATGAGGAAGTGGAGGCCGCAGTTTTCTGGCTACCTGACTTGTTGATTTGGATGTCACGGAGGATGAATGGTAAAGTATCTGGGGTTAGCTGATCATCAGGGTAGTGACTCAGCACTTCTAAGTCCTCATTTGAAAGTCCAAAGCTTGCCAAGATACTTCCAGCGCTCTCAGGTGTGTATAAACCCTGACCATCCCCGCCACCACCGTGGGGGTGCTGGGCTTGAGACGATGGTGAGTCACTTACAGGAGCGCTCCAGCTTGGCATGCTTGTTCCAGCGTGGGTGCTCTGGGACTGCTGTTGAGGCCCCTGATGTCGTTGCGACTGGTGACTGCCACTAGGTGGAGGACTGGCAAACAGTTTAGTCGGAGGCTGGTAGCTTGACCAGTCTACTCCTTGCTGGTGGCCAGGCTGATTATCAGAGGTGTGGGTTATTGGGTTAGAGCCGTAGCTTCCGTGTTGACTCATCCCAGAACCTGAACTCTGGTTCTGGTGTTGGTTTGGTCGGCTCATGTGGTCAATGAGGCGGTGGTCCATGTCCCTGGCACCACGGATGGCCAAGGCAGACTCTAGTTCATCAGGGAGCTGGGTGGGACGAGGAAACTGGAAACCCATCACCTGCGACAGCATGTCAGAAGGAGGACGGTTCTGATGTTGATTTGGAGGTGACTGATGATGAGGAGGTCTGGGCCCATTAGAAAAGGGCTGTGACCCCTGTTGCTGGGAGTGGTGGTGGTACATGGCAGCAGAGAGACACGGTTGTATGTTTCTGTGAGTTTTTCTGTTTGTGTCCACGTTAAAACCAACAGCTGACACCGGCTGTCTATTGAGAAGACTCAGGAGGGCCAGGTGATGAGGTAACGCTGCTGCAAACCCGTTGTTGTTGTCAACAGTTATGGTCGCTAGAGTGGCAAGCTGCTGGAGAGCAATCTGTGCCTGAGTCTCAATCTGAGCCAATCGGAGGGCTATCACTGCAGCAACACCAGCCACAGGTCCAAATATGAAATGGGTCCCTCTGGTGCTGTCGGCGACGGAGACTGATGCACTGGGCTCCAGTCGAAGGGTAGGACCAAGGTGCGAATTACTGTCTGTGAGCACAGCGAGGCTGTGAGGTGGAAAGCAGAAATATACTATTACAAATGCACAAGCTTTATTCTTTCATTTCAAAAGTAGCTTTCAGATGAAGTCCTTTCTCCCACGCACTTTCATAAAAAGTTGGCACAGTCCCTTAGTTTGTTTGTGGTTGTTCCCTTTAAAATTTGTCAAAGCATTAAGAAGCATGGTCAGCCTTGAGATCTCCTTCCTGTAGTCAAGCGTGCACACCGTGCTTTTCATCAGGGCGGGAAAGCAAAGCAACATTATGCAACAACACTGATTCAATGAAAAGCAAACAAACCCAAAGAAAAAGGTGGATTTAACCTACAGGGACCCCATACAGACACACACTCTGGGCCTGATAGAAAGAATGTAAATATAATCACCTGCTAGCCTGCAATGCAGGTTCAGCATTAAACACAGTGTGCAATTATGGCCTAAGCCTCTTTCCCAATATGTTCACAGCTGAACTGAACAATTGTACAAACACATAGTGTTACTGTTGTTCCCTGAATATTCCTTGCAGGTAACATCAGAGCATTGCAGTTAAAGCCAAGTACTGGCAAGAATCTGGCAATATGATATGTGCCATGATACAGGGGTTAGGACTGAATATATTGCAATACATTGCAACACTGTAAGCAAGGTGAAAAGGGCTTTTTTAAATCTAATTTTAAGGAAACTGTTAAAGTATAAAGAACACACCACCATATGCATAAAACCTGAGTCAATTCATTATCACAGTCTCTGTAACATCTAACATCATATGACTACTTTTGTGCAGGATTACAACACTGTTATCTAAAATGAACCACAGCCACAAATCTTTACATACATGCAAACTATTCATTAAAAATAAAAGATAGTGTTTTTGAGAATCCATACAATATCAAAAAAATAATATTGTGATAAGTGTATCAATATTTTCTTACAACCTTGTTGCAATGCTGACTATTAACTTAACATCCTGAATAACATGTTGGCCTGTTTGACATACTTAGTATGTTTTGCAAGAAAAAGCAATTCCACTGAAGATAGGTTTGTACTTTTTGCACATAGTTTTGGTCACAGACAGCTGACGTTTAGAATCAGTATCCACCCTCTCTTATTTTCTGTATCCTGTACCTGAAACCAACTTGGGTTGAATGGATGGATGTTGTTTTTCCTTTAACAAGATCTAGCAAACTGCCTTTAAAATGATTCTATTTTAGTCACAACATTATCTAGCACCAAGTAGTAAGTGGGTGCACAAGCATGTCATAAATATACCAAAACATATATATAAATAAAATGTGCACAATTCTTTTGCACTTTGTTCTGTAGCCTTTTTTGGGAGGGGGGGTGTTACCAAATATCAGTTGTTAGGGAAGCTAGCATGCTGGGCAAAACTACACCAGAGACGTGATCGATGTTGTTGCCAATCATCTCAACAGACATTGGTTAAAGAGGTTACCAGGCCAAATACTCAACGTTCAAATAACTGAAGGAAACATAACAAGCAAGTTAACATGTAATTCCTGATACAAATAACTGAAACAAGGAAGGAAAAGTTGATGACATGATGCAACACTATATATTAGTCTCCGACAGTGAAGTGACCAGTGCTCCAAGGAGTCACTGCAGTTTGGTTCCTTTTACTGCTGCTTCACACACATTTCACTATGTGGAGTAACAATTCCCCAAACAGAAAGGTCCCACAAAAGCATTCTTCAACAGAAACATCCAAGCTTCAGCATTTTTCTTGTTATAAAACAGTGCTGACTTCTCAAAGTGCATTTATTTATTGAAAATAAAAATACAACTACAGCATCCATCTGCACGTCCTCAACTCACAGACATGTGCAGTAAAGGTCTGGAGAAGGAGACAGGGAGATTTAGAGCCCTAAATGAAAATTCTCCTGTCAGTGGCTGAACACTCATCAAAGATTTAATGTCATTTCTGATACAAGGGAGACATCTTTGCATTCTAGGCCCACAGAAGTGCATTTAGATTAAGCAGTGGTCAACATATAGCTAAGAGTGGAGTTAGATTAAGTCAAAAAACTAAAATGGAGAGGATGTCAGCACTGCTTCACAAAGACAACATTAAAAGAAACTATTAAAGCTGCAGTGGTTAACTTGTTTTCATATTTACTGAAACTGTCACTATATCCTGACAGCAGTACATAGATTCTGAACATGAGACAGATAATCTGTGAAAAGGTTCCTCCCGGCCGGTGAGTCCTTGCAGATGCATTAGGAGCACTAGGAGGAGCCAGAGGAGCCTGATTTTCTCACAGATTATCAGTCTCATGTTCTACTGTCAGGATATAGGGAAAGTTATTTCTATAAAACTAACCTACTGCAGTTTTAAGGCTTGAAAGCTGGTGTTTCATTTGTGGGAAATCCCTGCAAGTTTTTTATTCTTTTTAGCTTGCTTGCATTTGTAGAAGTATTCCGATACAAGTCAGACAGTGCTGATATTCAGGTCCAACTCCATGAAGTACTGCCTGTAAGGCTGCAGGACAGCCCCTGCATGATGCTGGCCTACAGCGGGCTGTGCACAGCTGAGATCCAGTGTTTCTGAACGGGCCGAATCTGACAGCTGCTACAACACCCGTGTAACATCTCAGCATTTACAAACCCGTTAAATGCACACGTACACGCTATATACTCACAAACAAAGACAACAGCCCATACAGTGGCACATTCAACGCTGTATTTGTTGACAAATCCTAATGTAGACCGAGAAATAGAGGGCCCACCCTGCGCAGCCCCTCACATACCAGCCATTTTGGTGGTTTCACTGTCTAGCTAGCTACCGTTAGCTACCTATAGGGACGTAACGTTATTTCAGCAGTTTCGGTACATTTTACGCTCGTAGCCTACCACTCCTGAGTCCATAAAACACTCATAAATACCTTTCACAACGAGTCGATGTGAATCTTTGTTGTTACCAGAAAGTCTCGAGGTCTTTTCAGCCAGCAGCCATTTGTATCAAGGTAGCGCTAAGCCTGTGTTCCGCCATTAGGAGGAAACACTTCCGCCGCGAGAATTTCAGAATAAAATTAGCTAACTAACTACTTTTGTTTGGTTTCTTCTCACTCCTTCTTAACAAGGAATTATCTAATTAAAATGTGCTAATTTGCATACTTGTTGCTTGTTTCATTTGGTTGACATGTCAAAGGATTTTACAAGGGGATCTTTTTTAGGAATAAAATGTGATATAAACAAAGCCCTCAGTAAAAAGCAGAATATAGATAGCAATAAAACTGGAGGGTTTGGTGTGTGTAAGTGCTACTGAAGTGCAGATTTTTGGCTCAGAGTGTGTGAAAAAACTCAGTATTTTAATGTACCTATTCAATTGAATAGAACTGAATTCAATTCAATTCAATTCAATTTAATTTTATTTGTATAGCGCCAGTTCATAACAGAAGTTATCTCAGGACACTTTTCAAATAGAGCAGGTCTAGACCGAACTCTTTATAACATTATTTACAGAGACCCAACAGTACCACCATGAGCAAGACCTTTTAAGAGGCAGAAACCTTGGACAGACTCTTCGGCTCTAGGTGGGTGGTTGTCTGTCTCGACCAGTTGGGGTGAGAGAGAGAGAGACAGACAGACAGACAGACAGACAGACAGACAGACAGACAGGGGTGCACAGCAACAACAGTAGCAACAACTACACTAATAGTAGTGACTGATGATGATGAACATGAAGAAGATGATGACGACGACAACAACAACGATGGGGGACAATGAGCAGTGATTATAGTAATATAGTTTCTTTTTTTTAAACCTTTCTTATTTTTTAAAACTGCTTATCTTTTTTTGTTTCTAACCTGTAGCACTTTGAGATCTTTTGATGAAAAGGGCATTGTAAATAGTACTAATTATTATTATTATATTATTATTATTAATAATAATAGTAACTGCAGTAATAATAAGATAAGATAATAAGAATAACTTAATCCACCGCTTAAGTGCAATAATTTAATTTAACTGCTAATTTCTGCTAATGTCATTTATCCACTGTATAATAGCACAATGCCATATACAGTCCTATATATTTATCTATATTTATCCTCTATACAGTTCTCTACATTTATTTTATTTGATTTTATTTTACTTGAATTCTATTTTACTTTTATTCTTATCTAGTAGTATTTTGTATGCTACTGGATACTTGAATTTCCCTCAGGATAAATAATCTATCTATCTATCTATCTATCTATCTATCTATCTATCTATCTATCTATCTATCTATCTATCTATCTATCTATCTCTACTTTCTATATTTAGCTAAGAGTTTATTGTTTATCATATACTGTATTTGTTTTATACCTCTTTTATTTTCTATACAAGTGTTTTGTAAGCTGCTGGAAATTCAATTTCCTTGAGGGAGTCCTCCCAAAGGGATCAATAAAGTGAAGTCTAAGTCTAAGTCTAAGTCTAATAATAATAATAACAATAATATCAGTAATATTAGCAATGTATCTATGTATTTTAAAATTCAATACAGGTGAACAAAGTAAACAAATTAACTAACAGAACTAAAAGTCACTAACAATAACTAATATTTGGTGAAATCTACAGATGCAAATAGACAAAATGTAGTAAAATAAACATGTAAACATGTATTTTCGATGTTTTCCCTATGGAAGCAAAATATGCAAAATTCTCAAAATTGACCAGTGCATGAAAATACATGTTTTTGCTTGTAGTGTAGTTTGGAAGACAATATATGACATATAAACATATTATGGCTATATAATAATAATAATAATGATAATAATTAAAGCTGCAAGCAGCGTTGAGCGGGACCTCGCACTCTACGCAACTCGGGGCGTGCTGCGGCCGCGTCATGTGCCATCGTAACACGTGCGGACCACAACATGAACATTTCATGTAAATCAGATCAAAATTGCCACGCAGCGCTTACTTTCTGTTGCCAGTAGTTGGCGCTATCACTATGTCTGAATATTGTCATGTAGATGTGTTCAGGGCAGGACTCTTATCAGACATTCA